GACAAAATAGTAATGTAGGGTTTAGTTTAGGTAGAAGGTGTGAGATGAGCTATGATGCATTAGTTCGGGGAGGATGATCGATGCCTTTCAAGGTTGATGTGTTTATTGCCAAGCGGGAGAGCGGGACATGTATCAATGTTTGTAGTAGTTTGGTAAGGCCTGTCTAGGTGTTCTTGAATCCTAGTGGTATGATATGGAGTAGATATGGGGTGGAGAGTGTAGATGTGTATGATGAAGGATGAGCATGAACATGTTCCTTTTCTAGAAAGTTGGGGGCATCTTGAGGATTAATATTATATTGTAATATTGGTGGTATGGAGATGTAATGGGACTGTCTAGTGAGATCAAAAAATAAAAAATTACTAGGTATGGAGTAGTTCTGGACGGGAAAGGATGAGAAGGCTTCAAAATGGCCGACCCAGAAAAATGCAAGATGCTAAGCCCGGACATGGGAACATGGAGAGAGGAGACATGGGGTTGATGTTGAACCTTGAGATTGGGACATGGGCATTTTGAGCAAATCATTTTCAGGGATTCTCTTACTTTGGAGCAAAATGTTTCTTTTTCTTTTCTTCTTGTTTGCCCTAACCTGATCTTGTCAATTAACCCTTGATAAGTTGCGATTTGACTTCAATACCCCCAAAAGACCCTATAGAAGGTATCTTTACTTTATTGATTATCTAGTCAAGAAATTGTTTACTTTACACACACACACATGCACACATCTAGACGTATCTAATTGGTAAGGTTGATACAATACGTGCGATAGACACCACTAGTAAGGTACGAGTCCAGTCTAGATCCAAAATTAAGAAGAAAAAACCGCTGGAAATTCCCGTAGATAGGATAGCACTACGTCTGTTGAGATTAGTTCCCGGTAGATAGTACTATAGTAAACAGATTAGACTAATAACAGTCACTAATTGACTAAAATGTTTCTTTAGACGAAAATCATCAGACCTCATCTAGAGTGACAGATTGACAGAACGGTCGTTGAATAAAAATATATTCTTACGATCCGATCCAATAACTATGTCCACAATCTACCTAGGCTCAGATTCCTCTTCACAGGCTTCACAGAAGTAGTATTCAAACAGCACAGCACAGCACATTGTGGCTTCTTTTTTCCGTGGCCTCAGTCTGGTCGCTCCTCCACCGACCTGATAACCTTACAACCTTACCTTACCTCACCGCAGTGTATGCATAATGATTAGTGCACCGAAACCAAGCAATGCACTTAAATCCACAAAATTCACTTCACACGCCATTATTCCATACACAACACAACAGGCACCTTGGAAAAATCATACACAGCCTTACCCGAATGCATCTGGCAAATGTATGGCGGACTTTCCACTTTGCTGGGCATACCCATCTTACAACCTTGCACCTACCTCGCACACAGGATCTCAATAACCTTACGGGATGGGGGTAACTTGCAGCACTGGCGCTGCGTGCATTATTAGTGGCCGCCTGGAATCTCCGTCCCACCATCGCCATCTCCGTCTAGTCGGTCAAGACTCACTCCACTCTCATTATCTATTTGCCAAACCATTTTGACCACACACACACACACACACACACACACATACCCACCCACCTAATATACAAGGACAAAGGTTTAATTGTAGTTTGGGGTAAGATTACGAAAGATGCTTAGGCCAGAAGAGAGAGATGAGATATCGTAGAATAAGCCAACCAGATCATGAGTACCGGAAATCCCTAGATGAACGTGCTAAAAATCATGGCCCCCCTGTCGCTGGTTGTTCCCGAGAATTTAAAGATTGATTACCATCACAAATCTACTAGGGGGCAGGGGAACATTTGAGGATTTACGATATGGGATGTGTGGATATGTACCGTACAACCAACTACAGAGTTGTATTCCCGACAAGCACAATTAAAAAAATTCAAGATTCGATATCATGATGTCAAGAATCCTTGGATAAAAGCATGAAAAGGGGAGATTTTTGCGAGCGAATAGTCTATAGATCGCAACCAAATGATATTCGCTCACCCTCGTCGACTCCTCAATTCAAATTCAACATATCAAGTGATGCGCGACGAATGAAAACCTCCTCCCCCCCTCTCATGTAGATCTTCCTTTCTTTCCCAGTCTCCTCCCAATCCGGGTGGGGAAATCCCATTAAAGTTAAATGAACCCTGTCTCATTCGCTTGATTTCGCTACTCTCAGACAAACAAGGCGAATTGAGTGGGGTGCAATGCTTGTGAATCGACGGCTAGATCTTCATTCATTGGCAGACTCCCTGGCACATTTCTCAAAAGAGACATTTTTCGTCTTTAGGACATTTCATTTTGGCGAAGGAGTCGAAATCTTGAGTTACATCGTTCCATTCGACGAAACAATAAACTCAATATCTATCTGTACATACATGCTTTTAATTTATTTAACCATGCACTCCTCGGATGATCGACGAAAGGTACATTTTGTTGTTGCCTGGATGCAATAGTACCGAGACTGATCGATTGATTGATCGATTGAAATTGAATGAACACATGGTGACAGGAATAGATCTGGAATTTTACCGGTTGAATATGATGGTGACAGTAATTCCATAAAAGTGCCTTGGTCAGGATTGAGGGGGTATCCATAGGATCAATCTTTGGACTAATTATTGAAATCCCCCAAGACATATACGAATCCAAACCTCTCGCAACCGCCGAAACCATCCGAATACCACAACGCGTATCTGTAAATGTATTCGAACTAGCATAGCATCACCACTGTGTCGATCAAACCCAATGATAAAAGGAAATAGAGAACTTTGTCCCCCCGGCGCCATCTTGATGAGTAACATGATCTGTGGCTAGGTTAGTCAGGGGTCCACAGCAAATGATTGGCCCGAGTACGAAGGATTAACGAAAACGCACGCCCAGGAGTGGCTACTGCATTCTCTACAGTCTACTCGGCCACACATATTCACATATTCTCGTCTCATGTGCCCCAAATTCTCCCACCCAAATAACCACAAGTGTTTCCCTTTCTTCTACATGTTGCACAGCCTCGAGAGCACAGCCATCTACCTCGTCTCTTCACGTCGTCATAATTGCTCGATTGGGTAACGAACCCAAATGGAAGCCTTGAAACGCATATGAAGTTTCTCTGCATTATGACGGATGCTATTAGTCATTATCAGGCGTCTCGTAAATTGATCGTTTCGTTGACGATAGCCTTTATGGCATCACATTCTATCACGTACCAGGTCATTGTAGATATGCACGAGCCACATGCCCCTGTCCAACAGTTGTAAACAGACCAAAAGTTCGTCCGTACTCTATACACTACGGAAACGGACGGGACGGCAGGACCCATTTCACGAGGCAGATTTTCATCATAGTTATCTTTCCTGTTCGTTCATCTCCTCTCTCAAGATGAATCATTCCTCTCTATACAACACACAACGTCCGCCCCTGATTTCAAATCATGCATGAGATCTCCACAACATCTTTCTTTGGGTCGTGTCACAGAAGGATTGAACCATCTGACCAAATGCGTGGATATTATTATATTGATCGACCTGGCATTGATATAATGTCCTTTTTTGTGTATATGTGTATCCTTGGTTTTGTGAAAGCATAGTCGTCGTTATCGAAGGATCAAATCCTTCTAGAAGCCCTTCAAATCACCCAAAACACCTCTTCTACACACACATAGTTCATCTTACCCCCAGAAGCTTCATTCTCTCAAACAGAGCATATCCCTTTGGTTTCACGTTCTTCTGCAACTCTTCGGAATTCAGCCCTATGAACCCCTTTTCTTCGAGTTTGATCATCAGTGATTGGCTACAAATCCTGGCAATAGTAATCCTCGCCGTCTTGGCACCGAGTTTTCCAAATTATAGTCGGGTCCTAACGATGGAATTGGCTGGTATATTTAATTCTCAAACGCAGACCCGTTGAAGTTGCTATTATCAGAACATCTTGCGAATCTTCTCCATATGGTACCCCTTGATACGATGAGGGCGTCTAATATTTATAACACATCGTGAAGGTGTGCGTGCTATGGCTTATTTGATAGATGTGTTCCTGTACCAAAGCAATGCACTCCTGAAGACGAAGAATTTAAGATTACATTACCTGCCGGCTCCATGGTGTTCCTCCGGCATTTGAGAACGCAGATGTTTTATTGTGGCATTTTTCTAATGCCTCCATTACTCAGACGTAAGGGAGGTGGTGCAGAGAACCCACTTCATCATCTGGTCAGCAACAAGAAACATGCAAGTATATTAGACCCATAGAAATTTGTTGTCAGATGTTTCCTGGATACATCGTAGTTGTGTTGCACAGCCTCACAGTCTGGTGCATTGTAGCTAGCCATAATTCACAATGCCTAGCTTTGACTTTGTAGCCCTGGAAAAGGCATCTCTGCTATAGGGCTGAGTAATTGACCAATTGATCGTCACGCATGCTCTCGGTCATCACCGTCATTGGTAATCTCTCCACCGCTAGTTGTAGATTTTCGTACTGTAGCCAATCGCGCTCCTTCTGTCGTCACAGTGACGCTTGACATTTTGGAAGCGATAGTCAATGCAGATTTCAGTACAGACACAGTGCAGAAATTTCCGTCGATGTGGGTGTGGTTGATCAGAAAAAAATTATAACCAAACGGTTCTACACACTTGAGATTGATTAATGTAACTTCAATCTGCAGTGAGCTGCTACCGAGGAGCAACGTTTCAATCGAAAAGGGTTCTTCAGCTTCCATATGATGGCTGGCGTCGCCCACTTTGTCAACATCTACCTTAGTTGTCCATCCATTGTGTTTATCATTGCAACGGCGATGACCTTATTTGCCTCCCAAACGTCTCAATCATTGGGGACGAATTAACCTCGGGACAAAAGGTATAGTGAAAATTGTTATTTTCTTGAGCGGTGTATCCTTTGGATATTAATTAGATTATGCAAACAATATTGAATTTATGCTGCCAACGAAGACGAGCAGGAGAATCTGTGCCAACGGAAAAATATGATCGCGATAATGACTTCTTGGAAAAGCATATTGTTTGGGCGACGAGATGAGACAAAAAAGAGCAAACCTTCAGGGTTCGTCCGAAACTTTTACGATACCGAAGAGACTATGGAGAGACTCTTCGACTCTTCGACAGCGGGGGAAACATCCCAAGCACATCTATTCGCTAAGTTTTACCACCATCGCAAGGTTGTCCTGATCGATAATTTTTTGAATGAGGGGTCAATGTACCACATCCAGATAGTATATTGAACTAACTATGATGAGTTGATATAAAAGCAATTTGCTTTTTGTGAAGAGATTGCCAAGATTTGTCAAGGTGTGTGGTTACACTAATTTGGTATGGAAAAATGTCCTGGGTTACGGGTAAGTATCTCAGTATTTTGTCCAATAGGATAAATTGAAGTTGATACAAGGCTAGTAACCCTCTTGCAGGCAGATGCTCAAGCTCCAAAGTTGACTTCCGCTTGCAGTACCGTGTCCTAATTCCTATGAACTGGGTCTAAAATGAAATAGTTCGGTTGGGATCTCGTTCCTCCTAGATGTCAAAGGGTAGCATTTTCAAGATTCTTTTAGGTCATGTTGTTACCAAGTGAACTGTTGAAGTGATTACCTCGCGTGGGTTCTGCCCCGGTTGGGCTCTCTGACCCTTTCAGATTTTTGAAGATCTTCATACTATACCCCTTGCTATACCTCGTGTCATATAGAGATATAGATGCAAGAATGCTCAGGGTGGGTATTTTTGGACATGATCATGAGGCTCTGCTTGCCAATCAAATAAGATTCAGATCGTAAGGGTAACCAATCAACTTTCCATAATATCGCTTCCCCTGTACCACTAACATTTCCTTCTACAAGCATTTCAGTCAAAGCGGGATTTGCTTTCATCAAAATCCCAGTTGAATGATCTGTGCTACCCACTTCCTCGGGCTCAAAAAAGTAGATTTGATAGACACTCTGATTTGCAACTAAGAGCGGAGTAGATATCTAGAAATAGAATGGTCTTCGAATGTCGTTATCCGTCTCGCATAGAGGGCTTTTTCAAAACCGTACCCATGGTTCAGAAAAGCTACGACCTGGGTGTAAATTAATTCGTTATCCGCAAGAGCCACGTGAAAAGTGCACAACAGTACGACCTTCTTTTTGGTGACCCCCGATGCATCTTGATGCATTCAATCTTGGGAATCTCCGCCAAGTCGCCGACTTGAAGATCAGTGAAAATCAGGAACTACCATTGATCCGATTCGGAATTCGATCAAGTCTGTAACCAGTCAATATCACGATAATTCAGAGTACATACATAGCATACTTTCAGAGGTTTCGGACACTCACAGTTCCTCCAAGGCTCTCAGATTCCAGATTCCTACATTTCTTTACCGATGAAAACCGGAGTCCGTGGCCTTCGGTTACCTGTAACGGTACCCCATGAATGAATATAGTAACTTAACATCTTTAGTGATGTCTTAGCATCTTAGCAGTGAGACTAGACGGGCCGGGGCAGAATCTTAGCTTACCCCAAAAGTTTAATCAAAATCCTTGATAATAATGGAAATTCACCCCAATGCTTTCAGTCTGCTCGAACAGGAAATCATTCGCTTAAATCTTCTTGATTGTGTTTGGTGTGTATACCCTCTCCCCCGGGGCACCATTCCGTTGTTGGATCGACTTCAAAAACGTGGCATGCTTGCTCACCAACAAGGAAGCTCACATTTGCCCATTGGATGTCACTCGAAAGGCAACAAAGTTCGGTTCATTTCAAGGCGCCATAGAGTCACAGTCTGTACCATGGAAGGAAGTTCATTGTCTCGAAAGTCGTATGAGTAGGGTTACAGAGAGAGTAAGTCCATGGGTATCATGATTATGGTTGAAAGAGTTCCCACTTGGCTATATCAGACTGTGTGTGTGTGTAATGGTAATGGTCATGGTTATGAGAATAGTCTTGCCATGGTCAGAAATTTGTGGTGTGTTGAGGTTTGAGGCTTCCCTTTCTCCAGTCGCGAATCGAAATCGAACATGCAGAATATGCAACGGCAGGTCATTTGTAACTATAAATGGCAGCATTTTTGTATTGTGGCTCTCTTACGTGCAACTTCAACAGTCTTAAACTCTAGGCTCCAGCATTTTATCACTCCTATCAGCATGAAATGATCAAAATTGTTCAAATTTTCAAGTCTTGAATGCATTGATAATTTGATTCGCTTCAACCATCCATTTCTTTGATCGTGAGTTGCATTTTCCCCTGCAGAAGTCCATTCCATGGCTTGATTCTAAGAAGATTCGTCGCATTGCCGTTTTTTTTGCTTTTATCATCATTCATTTTAACCCGGGTACTGATCGACTGAATCGATGCAAGTATGAACAGGGAACAGAACTAGAGGCGTCCGTCACATTCTGTACTTTCGGTACGAAAAAGAAAGAAATGAAACTTCGAGAAGAGGATCCGTGAAGAAAGAGAATCTCGATCTTATTGGGTGGCAATTGCCAAACTGATTCGGTATGGTTTGTTACTTCCTTTTTATTTTTAATTTGAAAAAAGAGAGAAGGGAAGTAGAAAGAAGTACGAGAAGGATTTCGATGGAGCATGACGAGAAAGGCACATCCCCCCTCTTCATCAATTCATCAATGCGCATGATTTCCTATTCGCCATCAAGGCTTGAATTATGATCCCTTCTCGCAAGCTTTTGCTAAATCCGTATCCTGTCGCCCTGTAGCATGTGTCGAAGTGTCGGCTCTTGGTTGGCGGGGCCGGGTCACCGCAACAGGACACCGAGTGGTCGTCGTTGTTCTACAACCGTATTGTAAGAGTCAGGTTTTGGTCGATATCAATTTCCTTATCGCAGGATATGATTTGAAATCACTTAGCCGAGTCACTACAACATTGCTGGCGGTGATGTGTATTGTACAAGTCGTCCATTCATGCTCACCGATCAAATTTGAGTGAGTAGTCGAAAGAATTCACCCCACATCTGTCAATTAGGGCGTTTTGCTTCAAGGTTTCTTTCTTCCTTTCAATCTTCATTATTGAATCTTGAATCATGAAATAGTAAAATGGTTAAGCATTGTGCAATTTTATCTTTGTAGATGAACAGCCATGAGAAGTCTTCAAATTTCTGTTTGCCATGTGTGCTATCCCGCCCCAGCATATGTCCATTTTTCTTTTACCTATATCGAATTTCGAGATTATTTCCCGACAACTCGGTCTACTTTCTCTATCTCCTAGTGTGTGTTTTTAATCTACGTTTTGCATCCCTTTCACCTCTCAGCATTACCAAAATCGTGCCATGAGAGTTGAAGGTAACTATGCATGTGGTATGCACCGCCATGGGATCTAAAGAGTGTGAAGAGACCGCCTTTTCACATTGCATGGTTATTTCACGGAATGTTAGCATATCTGATACTAGAACGTTAGTGGTGCTTTCAACAAATGATTGATTTGTTATTTAATTTCTAATTCTTAATCTTTTAACCAAATATTATTCCGACATTAGAATTTCTTTTGCAAGGCAATATCCCTATATTATATGATTAACATGACTATACTCTAGAGGCATTTTAATTCGTTCATCCCATCGTGTCAGCTCATGTCTTTTGAACTAACGGCTAGTTCACAAGTCCCTCCCCAATTTGGTCTTGTTCATAATTCTCAAGGCTATATCCTACATGGCATTGAACCGCCTTGCAATTTCGAAAAGGCCATGCAGATCACTCGTAATGGGATCTAGGGAAAAGGAATATCACACAGCTAACGGTCTGACTATGCTGCCAGTCATAGCCACACTTCCGTCCGCCTTCTTCTTTACCCCTGACCCCTTCACGCCTCACTTGGTCTATCTTAATTCCTAAATCCCTTAAACCTTCACTCCATCGTTTACTAGAGGAAATTTGCCGCGTCAACAGCTCTTTGGCTCAGTCAACGGGCGATCTGTTCCTCTTCATTTTATTTTCTTCGTCTCAGAATGATTCAAAAATCCTGGACCCCTTCGAACAGGAGGCGAATCTGTGAAGCACCAACCGCTCGATCAAGGTTGTGCGCGGGAAGAAATCGACAACATTCCTACCTAGCTAGTTTTGGAAGGAGCAGTTGTTCCATGTCATAATGTTGATAATTGAAAGCAAGTATTCACACATCCTGTTCTTCGGGGAAAGAATTTCGCGTCTCAGTCGTTGACTGAGGATTAACCAGTTAGTATCCGACTTGGTGAGTAGGTGTTGTCGCGCTCTTTGCCTTTGATTAGAGTGGCGCTTGAAGTAACGGGGTGGTGGAAACTATTGATGGTTGGCCTCCTGAGGCGGCGAGATGAGAACAATATATACCATTACTTGTTTCAGAGAGTTTTCATCGGACATAGGATATATTCTGGTGAAAATGAAATTGCAATACAGCTTCATATCTCCACACCACCCTTGCTTTCAGTGTATTTAATCGTTTACTCTTCATCTTTGACATCCGTTCCGAAATGCTCTTCAACCCCAGAATATCTTGCTCCCCGCTCGTTCTAAAATAGCATTCTAGCACCTGGAAAATAGATCATTTTATTTTATCACTGTCGTATGATTGTTTTCCGTTACCTGATGAGACGAGGGGTGTGCTGCCAAGGGGGCGAGATGTGATGTTAAAGAGTCGCCAGGAAATAAATCAAGGACCAGTTATGAAATCAAAAGTGCTCCGTATAGCCCTTTATATACAAATCATGGTCAAGAATACGTAATGATGTAGTTTCATTGAACCATTACTTCAACGGGAATATATCCGTAAATGAATACCTGCGATTTTCCAATTATTCTCCATCCTTACATTTACTTCATCCAATTCCAAGGAGCTGCAAACATCCAAAAATAAACCTGATACCAAATCGAAAAACACTAAACACACACCAAGCCCATCACAAATTACCAAAATTTAAAACCCTCATCTCTCCATTCTCTCTGACCTCACAACACCTTCGACGAAATCATGCCTTTGTCCGCCAATTCTCGAACCACGCTCAGGACATCTAGCCTCTTCTATTGGCATTCCACATTCACCTATCGCAAACTATCACATGTTAGCTAAATCACTCTCCTCGATTTTTCAAGCTATAGAGACACTCACCGGATGTCCCTTCTTGCATTCATACCAATGACCACTATGTGTAGCAATCCCTCCCCTCCCAGAGACCATAGCATTCCTAATAGCATCTAACTCTTCTTTAGTGACCTCTTCGTACCATTCTCTACCTAAATGCCTGATTAATGTTTCAACAGCAATCAGTAGCGAGTCCGCACTTTGGAATCCCTCTCGACAAAGTCCCTTTGCTTCATCCAATAGACTTTTAGCCTTTTCTGTCTGAGAAGGAAATTTGATACCCCCCGCTTCATGATTGGCAATAGAGCGAGTATACAAATCGAATAGGCGAGCTATCTTCGCAAAATAGAGTATGCCCTCGACAGCTAGTCTTGGCAGACTTTCATCGCGACATGACTCGATGTAGGAGAGGCAAGATTTAAAAAAGGGCTTCGCAAGTTGGTCTGGAGGCCCGCCAGATATTTTGATGGTGGAATCACGTGAACGGAGCTTCTGAGCTATCGGAAATCTATCGGCCAAGGTGAGGTATCTGATATTCCTCTCGTCAGTCTGAATCGAACAAATTACCTGATCATGTTGGGAAGAATACAAGTACTCACTGGACTTTAAGCATGGCACCAGTTCCTGCAAAAGCGATTCTTCGGTCTCTCGGGGATTTTCCGATCCCCTCCGCAATTGAGAGGCCACCCAAGACATTTTCAAGCGGTTGCTGTCTCGTTGAAGTTATTATAGCATTATGAAGTTTCGTAGCAGGTTGATGCTTATCCTTGAACCTCTCGCAAAATCTCATCACTGTTTTTTCCAATTGTCTCGACTTATTATCTCGATCCTTAAGCAATTCAGATACGTTGATTTCTCCCCATGTACCTTCTAATGCCTGGATCAACCCAGGTACAGAATTCTCAAATTCCTTTTCCAAATGAAGAATCTTTCTTTCTAATTCCAGAAGTTCGACTTGGCCACTCACAAGAAATCGTTTGGACATTTCATCGATGACAGCCCGATTTATCACTCGGTTGTATCGTGGGGTTGCGTATTGTCGAAGAGGACATTGACAATCTGGACACTGAGGAACGGATGATGCCAGTGAGGTGGTTTCCTTGATTGCCGTGAAATCTCCATGGATGTTTTGTTCATAGACTTCAGACATACCGACCAACCCATCGAGTGATTCTGCTGTGAAGAAGTGACCACAAGCAAGCGCAATTATCGGAGTATCCTCAAGGTCAATCTCTTTGTATAATTTCAACTCAAGAAGGTCGACTCGCTGATCTTCTTTCATGGAGCATATTTGACAATAGTCGCGTGGGCATAATTCGCCACAAATCCCGGGGCATTGGTGACCGCAAGAAAGCTGTAGTAAACAACGTTTATTGCACGGCAATCTATCGCATGAACCAGCACATCTATTTGCATGTTTCATTAGCTTTATGATGGAGAAGAGGTCTTAGAACAAAGTGGGGTTCAAAACAAAATTCCCTATCTTCGACTCAAAATAAAAAAGTTCGCGGTAACTTACGGCATCTTGCAAGTACCTTCATGCTTGCATGACCATGTGCATAGTTCTATACATGGTGCGCAAGCTTCGTAACATTTCAATGTACATTTAGAGTGCGAGCATTGAACCTATTAGCTCAGAAGTCAGATGCTGAGATCCTATGTCGAAACAATCACACCACACAGTACATACCTCACAGTTCGATGAACACAATCCGCACTCTCGTCCTGAATGACAGGCTCGCTGGCAATTATGATTGCAGGTTCCGAAGGCACGGCCACATGGCTTTTTACATGGTCGATGCTCAGTAACTATCACTTCTCCATTCTTTTTGTTGCATTGGCCACAAGTCGAACCACATGTGTGCCCACATGGTAAAATTTCACCACAGATCGTGGGACAGCTAAAGGTCGGTGATTCAACATCTCGAGAACATGTAACAGTAACTATATGAACACAGTCGGGAACTTCTTTTCCTAACATAACTAAACACGGAATCTTGTACAGGTCTAGTGTCAAATGACATGAGACCCCATCCTTATAGTGACTGCACGGAAGCTGAATGTTGTCCAGTTTGAAATGACACAGTCCACAATCTTCTCCGCAGGTGTTCTTTTGGCACGAGTGTCCACAAGGCTCATGAAGGCGTTCGCACGGCTTTGGACATCTGAAAGCCTGATGCATGCTATCCGAGTGACAACGAGCTGTACATTGATGTCCGCAATCTGGTAAGCGTTTGTTACAAGATAGATTGCAACCACCTACGGGGCTCCATCTTGCAAAATCATCTGGCTCGGAAACTTGGATCTCGGTTTCGGGATGACGAGGGCAACAAAGAGCGAATTAATTACCGACGGAATTGGTCTCCCTTAGCATACCTAAAATGTGCTTCCACATGGCTACGCTGGAATATGTGTCAGAATTACCAATGAGATACAGACCATGTTGGGCTCGACCCAAAAGGACGTTGATGCGATTGGTAGTTCTGAGAAATCCCATATTCTTCTCCTTGTTGCTTCTGACCAAAGAAACGATGACAAACCTTCGCCTCTTCACCTTGGAAATTATCGACAGTGGCAATACTGAATAAAGATGAAATCAGTTTTGCTCTTCAATTATTACCATGAGATGACACTTACCGAAGAAGTTCACTCAAGTTCTTCTTCTCAAGAGGTTTTCTGTCTCCAGATGTTGACGTCGAGGTGTCAGGCTTTTCATCTGATGTGGTAAAACCATCCCTAGCAAGAACTTCTTGATCGCGTTCAGATAAAACAATCTCAAACTCTTTGCCCATATGCTTCCGCAATTTTTGCAACTGTCCACTGTAAGGCGTCAAAACAGCGATATCACTACTACTGTAAATACCTTGTCGAACTATGTGCCTTACAAGTGCCGCTGTCATTTCTACTTCCCATATATTGCTATGGGACTTTTTGTCGGCATCATCTCCATTTGCGTTGTCCTGGACGTTTGTGTGGTCAAGCCAGTAAGTCTATATCGAATGTAAGCAGCTTTCCAAGGGAGCTATAGAGAATTCTGGCACACTCGCAAAAAAAGTAGTGCGAGGCAACACTTACATTTTTTCGCATTCCAACAACGTCTGCGAGAATTTTAGTTACATCGTGATCAACCAACCTTGGGTATATTGTCTTGATTAATCTCGATATATCAGGGCGCATACGACGCTGGATATTCAGTTGAGCCACTGGAAGGGTGAGCCGTCCGGGGTCGCCAACAGATAACCTCTCGAATTGACTGCGGTCTAGTTTATACAGAGCTCCCGCTTGGCTTTCAAGAGACAAATTGTAGTTGTTTGTAGAGGGGCGGAGCTGCTCGTGGTCTCTAATAGAGATGACATGTTCAACGCTTGCTGTAAACAACGAAAATTAGCTTGACAGATCGAAAACTTTAGCAATTTCTGAATTTTATCGTCGCACTAAACCGAACAAAAAAACACTACTTACGTAGAAGCGCAGACAGCATATGAGCCTCAAGAACCTCCCCCGCTTCCTCGCAGACAATTACTTTAGCTTTGACGTGTTTCAAAGTCGACATTTTCGTTGCAAGACCAGTCGTAGTTACCCCAATGATATCCGCTCCCTGTAATACACGCCGGTCTTTATCGGAATATACGTTCTGTATTGTCTGGTTATGTTCCATGGTCCGAGTCATGGACTCAAATAAGTCGTTCGTAACTTCTTTACGCGCTTCTTCTGCCAAATGTCTAACAAGAATGATCCTTTCGTTGCCATATAGTGCGTGCACATTGATATTTGCGAACTCTATCAGGTCATCTATTGTATGTGTCTCCGAAAACACTGGTGCTTGTCCCTCCATTTCAGTGTTATACCTGAGCCATAAATCGAAAGGCTCTCCACCAACCTTATCGTATATCATTAGCATAGTCAAGTGGAATAGAGGAATTGTACCACTTGATAAGAAAAAGGGCATCCTCACCATTTCAAAGCCATCCTCATCAAACCTGTCGAATTGTTGGTAGATCTTATAATAGTGCCGAGCGACGTAGTCCTTTAATGATCCCCAATCTGGATAATCTCCAAGTCCATTCAATCGTCGAAGAAGCTTTTCCACATAATTTTCTTCATTTTCCAATGCCGAGTGGCTGGTTCTAAGTGTGTTACTTTCGGGCTTGGTCGTAGTCTCACCTTGAGAGACCACTCGAAGATTTTTTCCATCTAGAATCTTCGATTTACTTTGCCCACCTATTCGAATCACTTTCTCAATGCCGGATTGTACCAAATGTTCAAGAAACTGGTCAAGAGCATGGTTCGTGTAGCAACTATGCAAAATTAATGAATGTAAAATGTGGGATCATGGGACTGTTGCCATATTTCCTAAAACATGTGAATCAAAGAGTATCCAACTTACACAATGATTATGGGACCAAGTCTCGCCGTCTCGCACGATAATGAAACTTTGACAAGCTTCACGCCTAGAAAAGACTTTCCTGTGCCTGGAGGTCCCTGAATGTGGCAGAACTCTCGTAAAAGAGCAGCAAGTAATGCTTCACTTTGCCCACGATCGAGTTCCGTTCGTTGCTCAATTTCATCAATGAGTCCGGCATCATCGACCGAGGATTCTGAAGTTTTGATTAGAAGATGACCTTTGACCTATCTTGCAATATAGAGTCTAGCGAATACGTAAATTTTAATCCGCGGGCATATAACGGGGGTGGTATATCCAGGGTAGCTGAACTACCAAACTGTCGACGGTCTGGCAAAATCCATCGACGAAAAGGTAATCGATTTAGTCTTTGCATATCTTGGAGGTTTTCAAGGATAGGCGTGAAAGTGGCGAGAATCACACTAGGAAGTTCTACCAGAATTCCTCCAGCTGAGCTTGAGTTCAACAGCGTCAGACTCTCGAAATCATTTGAACTTTCAGTGGCAAGTTTTGCAGTAACGATCGCTCGTGATTCGTTTGAAATCAAGTTATGATCCAATTCGAGACCCGTCGACTTTTTTGTGACGGTTAAAAATAATGGAGTGCATTTCGTTCCATTGAATGAGAGTAAACACAGTAAAACGCCTTCGGCGAGTCGCTTCGACTCTTCCCACCACTTTCCCATGTCTTTTTTAGATTTTTTGGCCAATTATGGAGGATGAGAGAATGAAACTTGGACTTCCAGGCCTCGTCGATGGTTGAAGGTAATTTCGGCTACTTGTGCTTTTGCATAAGAGTGCGCTCTAATATTTGCAAAATTGAGCCTCGATTTTTCCAGTAGCGATGGCTCCGCTTCAATGGAAAGGATAAGACCACCGAGAACGGATTTGAGTTCACCAAAAATATCATGCCTTAACAATCGAAAGTGTGTATCTAAGAGTCTTGCTGCAGGGTCTACTAGGAAGTGATCCTGATCGACATCTGTTAAAGGCAGGAATTCGACAGCTTCGCTACGAATTTCCTCCTCGGTCGGCAAAATCCTGATACTTGTGACGTCCATCTTGTCGTTGTCATGTCTTCCTTGAGGTAAAGTTATCTCCCGGGGATATGTCGATACGACTGCGGTAGAGAAACCATCAATCTTCTGCTGATCTTCTTGATAAAGAAGTCCTTTAGCTCGGGCTATCATGCCTTGAATCTCTTGAATGCGAGATGGAATTATGGCGAAAGCTGCCGAATTTCGATCGACACCAATGATAGCCACAGAAATCTCGAGTGAAGTCACAAGATTGGGGAGGTCATCATGGAACAATGCATGTCGCTCTCGTCTAAGAAGTTCTCGAAGGCAAGTAGAAATTGCGATCAAAGTCTTCTCTATCTCATCGGTGGAAGCCTGGCTGGAGGAATAATGTATCTCCAGCAGATTAGTGATTAGAGTTTGAAAGAAAGGGATCGCACGAGATCCATTACTGCCGCTGATAAAGTTGTAGAGGTTCCCCACACAAGTGTCGATAGACAAGCAGTCCAATAATGCCTGATGTACCATGACAGATAGGAAAGGCTGCACAAGTTTAACATATGTTCCTGCGCCATTCGTATGAGTAGTCATCCCCAGAAGGACTCGAATGTGTTCGCGACCAAAAAAGTTGTCGTTTTCTAGATCTTGAGGGACCATCTGCTTGTTGTCTCGGTCTTCGCCATCCAAAATCTTAAGAGCACCTTGCCACAGCATTTTTATAGTTCGGATATCGTTGGGTCTAGGGTGGGACTTGATGAGGTACTTCCAACTAGAATATGTGTTTCTCGCTTCCTGTTGGTCCAATGTCTCCTCGGGCCTTGAACGAGGTTGTTGAAATACTTCATCGGCATTCGAGACTTCGTGAGAAAATCTGCATCGCGATCCGCGTGAGCACTTGCCTGTCCTTTGAAAGCTCCAGCATATTTCATCCGACCGACTGGGATTACCCAGACCTCTTTCTCCATTGCCACGACCGCGACCGCGAACATGCGAACCAAAGCTTTTACGAGAACTTTGTCTTCCAGTACCTCCTGAGCCTTTATTTCTGCCTCTCCAACTCCCATCTTCTCCATCTCCCCCCTGCCATCCTCGACCTACGGTATCACCTCGCCAGCTAGCTATACTACTCGCTATGATCACCAGTGTCTCTGAACAAATTAAAGGTGTGCACCAGAACGTGATATATCAGCGACGACGATAGGAAACGACACGAGTAATTATTATTTCAGAATGTAATTCAAGTCCTTCAGATATTTTTACGAGTACATGATGAGAAAGATAGTGGTATTTCAACTCGTCTCATTTACAGACAATGATGGCCACCTTTGATTGTGAATGGGTGATAAAGGCCCTCAATCTTGTCTGTCCAACCAAAGCAGCTGGAAGGCTGCATGCAAGGCTTTCAATACGCCGCAAATCAACAGACAGGAAACAAACGAACTTTCCAAGCTATGCATTATATGGCCATTCGTACACAGAATATAGGAATCCTGCATTGCATTTCTTTTTACGACCTGTGATTAAGGTACCACTTGCGAATTGCCCAAGGCCGAGCGCATTTAGGTAGTATTCATGGGCGCAAGAACTAGCATTTATTCAATTGGAAGATGGATACCCCCTGTACCAACATCATTGTGCCTTGAGACAAACAAACGGCCACAAAATGCAATTTTGAGTGAAGAGAGAATTTGTTTAATGTAGAGCAGACACTGATCGTATCCGCAGCACGCATCCGTGGAGAGTATATTTTTCGTCATATTGTTCCATTGAGAAATAGACTTACCATGCGGTGTTAATTCCATGACCTCATTCGAGGGGGTTGAAAACATGCTGTGCGTTTCCGCAATTAAGGAAGTCGGGTCGAAATGTAACAAGCCGCATTATGCGCCATAGCTTTGGCAGATTCTATTCTATAATTTGTCCAATACGTAGACTCGCATTGATTGCATACCCATTCCGTTTGAACCGCCGCAATAGACGGGCTGAAAATATCTTTATGAAACCTGCTTTGTCTACTGTGAAGATATCAGAATATGGAAATGAGAGCTCTCAAGATGAGGCAGGCAACCCATAGATTTTTGGATTCGTGGTTGCAACAATTAATCCCTGGCGAATAAAAGTTCCAGTGAAATCCTTAAGGGATTGCAAACCTGGAGAAAAGCCGAGCGGAAGAAGAAAAAGCAAATGCCATGTATTTGATAAAAAACAAGAAAAGAAATGAGGCAGGAACCCTTTCCAGTGATACAGCGAGTTTTCGTATGAGACTTCCTCACGTCCTGTTGGCATGTGAAAAGGCTAGTCTATCTCTCTTGGAAAATCTAGCACATGAGGGCTCAAGATGTTGCCAACTCCCAAGAACTTGCGAGGGAGGAGCCATGGCTTCCCAGATCTCAATTTTGAAGCAACAAATCACCCATGACGATCGAAAGTTCGAGTTCATGGTACTTTTAGCCGATATGACACAGTATCTTCGATTGAAAGACTTTCATCGACGTCCAGCAGCTCGTACGTTATCTGTGTGGGTAGGGGATTCTTCTGGAGATAACTTCTATGCCAGCAGGGAGACGGCATCACTAGCCTTCGATTAATTGACGATAGCAATTCTGCATGGCTCCAAGGATATTTCTCAACCGCCATCAATAGTGATAAGGATCAACCTTGCGAGAATCTGATTGCGATGTCGGACAATCCAATCCTGGATGGAAATGCATCACCGCAGATCGAGGAAGAGATATCAACAGAAACGACTGTGATATGCAAGATATTCCATTGCCGGGGTTTAAACGAGCGCATTCAACTTCCTCATGGAGGTTTGATCGTCCCAGAAAGACGGCCTACTATCATGATACGTTGAAGGACCCGATTCTCGACGATCAGGAACTATCCTCACTTTCAGTCGTGTCCAGTTTTGTCAAGTTTCCAAAGATCATCAGGGTTACAAAGTTGCAACAGATGTGAACAAAGAACACTTCCTCTTACACCAAAATACCGAAAGACCACGGAGATGTCAATTTTGACGATGGTCCATGCAGCCACATAATGGGGCGGAATGGGTACGAAATGGGTATTGTATTTGAGCGCCCCATAGTCCGCGTTTCCCGCGCAGACCCTTAATTTAGGCAAAAATATGGATGGCTCAAAAGTCTCTCACAACTTACAAGACTGTCTGTCCTCTTTCCCACGAACCATTGTTTTCTCCTTCTAGGAGCATGAAACTGCTACTCCACTTCAATAAGATCCGGGGCAGCCTTACCTGGAGCGGAAGGATCTTGACTTCTGCACGTTCTTCTCTTCGAGACTTACCCTTAACTGGCAACAGCAATCAATAATTTAAAATCTCAACCTCCGCATGACTGGAAATGAATCCTTCTAACTGCCATGAAGCTTTCACGATCAAAATTTGTCAATGCATTGTATACATATCCTAGCATTACACTCCGCCTCGCCAATATCGGTAGTGTACCATAGAGTGAAAAGGGCCCGCTACTGCAAATAACAAGCCTCGAAAGAAACGTGAAGCGGAAATCTCCAAGAATGGGGGCGCATTTCTGGAGGGGTCGATGTGTTGAAAATCCACATTAGGGCCCAATATAAATTCCCACCTTCAATCTCAGTGCCAGAATTAATCCGGTTGAGATCCGAAGAAACCAGAGACAATTTGCCGAAGAAATTCACAGCCTCACAAGAAACAAGACACAGAAAAGCAAGTGACAAGTGTTGAGTTGATAACAGATCTTCCAAAGCTTCAAGGCCGTTGGGTTAATCTTTTTGCCACCAAGATTGAGCTGTCAACAATCCACACAAGAGTCCAGTGATCGAACGGTCCATTTGATTCCGTACAGATTCTTTCTAGGTCTTCTCCCTAGAAACCTTCCCCAATACCCACAGTGATACCACCTTTCTGCATCTCTTGCATTTACATCCCATGATGATTTTACAGTGTGAAGTAGACTCGCTACCGCGCTGAGAGATGACCTCTCGGTGGTTGATACTCAAAGGTAAAATCCGGATCAGCATGAAGGGCATCATCAGGCCCCTGAGCTCTGCATACAGTACCAAAAATTATTTCATTACAAGGCCTTGGAATGTGTTACATCGTCATTAAAGGCAGTTAATTGAATCGCGTTTCGTGACGATCTTGAGAAGTCGCACCGATTAGCATGCTGTCGGTCATTGGAATGCTCTCGGCAACTAAGTAGTAGCGTTGGAGACTTTACCCAGCCCAGCTCTCTGTGTGGCCAAGTATTTTTGGATTCCGTCTGGCGACAGGGCGAGAATCCCGACTAACGATTGATTGAGTTTAGAGTATTACTATGCTTCAACGGTTTAAATGGATCTTCCGGAAAATGGATTGGAATTGGGAAATTTGTCGGCTATGAGAATAGACCAATTATATTTTGGATGAGCTTGATGGATGGATCTTGGAGGGGTGCCCCTCAGGTGAATTTGGTTGGATGTGATGAAAAGCAAGTCGTGAGACAGCCTCAACCAAGCAGCTTAACAGCGATAAATTAATTGGCGACCGCCGACAAACTCCGATAGTCGCCGCCGTATGCGCGAGTCACGAAATTCATGTATACGACCGTCGACCATGCAAGATGTTACAGCACCACACCATTGATTGACCAAAGGACCAGCGTTTTCACTTGGGAATTCACATCCAAGGGAGTACGGAGAAAACCAAGAGATGTGCATTGTGTGGAACGGTAGCAGTTGCAAAGGCCATCAAAATTCCTTGGTTTGAGAAAGTTTAGATAAGGGAAGGTTTTGATTCACGTTGCACAGAGCGATCCCAAGATCCCAATGACGCTGTGAATTCTTCAGAGGACCAGTACCCGAGTTCTACTCCATATATACTCAAGTTACGAGTAAGTTGGCTCGTTGGTTATCTTTGTGATCTTCATGATGGATTCCATACCATCATAGAGCCAAGAGATAAAAGTCGTCACTCAAAAACCGCCATTGAATTTACGATACCGGTACTAAACCTACCGAGACACCTAGGTTTCGGTATCAAGGAGTCCAGAACATCAGATTGCAGCATCTTACAATTTCAGATGTGTAGAACAGATAGATGTAAGGAAACAGATGTATGTGTTCAGATGTTGAGGTAGTGACTCCGTAGTTGTTCAGACGTTCTCTCGATTGTTTCTTTTCCTTTAATGAAACGGAGTCCCCGATCAATGTGTGTCTCCATTGCCCCCCCTCCCCTCCCCCTTTCCCCCAAACTCGACAACATTATGACCCTTTTGCCTATATGCGACCGACCCTCTCTCATAACTTCATAAGCCTCCACTGCCCAGTTACCCAGCAGTATTCTCGAGTCAAGACCACCACTCAAGACTCAAGACCTGTCAAGCTTCAAGCCTTTCAGACTTTCAAACATTCCAACCAAGATCCTTCCTCAACATCCGCCCTCCCGACGAGTTACCGTAATAATACATCATAGTTTCTCTACCAACAGCCAATTAAATGACTCTGATAAGAGAACACTTGGCCACCAATTAATTTCGCATTAGACCCTTGATTTTGATTTTTAGCTTATGCACACGCGACAGTGGTTTTGTTAGTGTATACTATGGACCGAAAGGACCCTAGTCGATCCCTTCTCAAAAAAGTTTAACGAGGTCTTTCTCTCAAGTTCGGGTGTCATCTTGATGGCTGATAAGTGAAGATGGGTTTGAACTTCTCAATAAGATTGGTAGATCCAGATCCAAGGGAAGGCGTGTGTACGGATTTTGTGTGCGTGTGCGTGTGCGTGTGGTGTATGTATGTACCTATGTGTGTGAGATAAACCCAGATTCCATTTTTATTTGAGGCTGACGGCGCATGAATTTCGACATGTAGTGAGAGTTACACATATCTATTTGTTTTCTTTGACCGCTCATTTATCTAATGTTTGAAATCTTGTTTACAGTGTACTGTGTATTGATATCTGTTCTTTCCTCTTGTTGATCGTAATTGTCTGTTCCCTCTCGTTTCTCGTTTCTCGTTTCTTATCCCTTGACTAACCATATCACTACCACCTACCTCCCGATACAAACTTCCGTGCATTGTGTCAATTGTGGCTGGAAGGAAAAATTTGAATTGACGAGGAGGACATTCTCCGTAGGTAGTTTCGCATCCTTGATCAATTTGGGCTCACATCTCGGCACGAACTCCTTTAATCCTGGTATTTACCGATACTAAATGGATCCCTATCGTAGGTATCTAATACTATTACGATCATGTCAAGTCTTATTAGCTTTTTTCCCCAGTCCACTTCATTGTGTGAGTTATTATCCAATCAACCCTAGTAATTCATAAGTTTTGATGCTTAGCTGATCATCAATTTCATCTACTCCGTAGAAGAGTGGATTCTTCCGACGGTGATACTAATTTCTGCTATGTACTGTACTGTACATGGACGAAATTGGCGAGACTCGGAATATAGCTCTGCCGTGTAGACTGCACGTCTGTACGGGATTTGAATCTTGCTATGATGAATGGGATGCATGTACATTGTACAGAAATGCTTAATGGAGTTCAACACATATGCAGCATCGAGCGATTCGAATGGGCATAGATGCTTCTTTTTTTATACTCTTGACGACGTTCTCTACACATAAGTCGTGCCTCGTAAAAGTCATGTTCAAATCAATAGTGAGGAAGTAAAATCCTTGAGTGAAATTAGACCCTTCTACAAGACTAAAGTTCTAAACATACTAAGCTCCCAATGGTTACTTATCCATATACCCATTTACCCATATATCTCCATATCTGACATTAGCCCTCCGAGAATATATTGAACTATTATGTACTGTAGGCTGAAGACCGGTACATATCTGATCAAAATTAGTTTAAACATTTCTAACTGGGTTCTTCCCATGTGATTCACGTGTTAATTACTCGAGTACGGAGTAGTTGTCGGGTAGTTGGGAAAGCAAAGGTAAAAGTAGAGACTCGAGGAATCGACGAGGATATATCGTTAGACTCTCAACTTTTACTCCAGCATCCCATATCTTAGCTTCAATCCACTTTTCCATTATCCCACCCCCTCCACTCTATCTGTTCAATGTGCGTATGAGTATACATATCAAATTGCCCCCCCTCTCGATGCTCGCATCTCGTCTCATCTCAACAATCTAACATCGACATACCTTCTTCATTCAAAAGTAAAGCAATTGGAAACTTAGAAAGACTTCAACCCTTTCTTCCAAGTTACTTGAACTTCTTGCCTCTACCTCAACATCTACTTCAACATCTATACCTCTATCTACATCTATATCTCTATCTCTGCTTCTACCTTCTACCTTTTACCAATCATCTGCTTCAAGTCTTACCTATATTTTAACTTCTTACCCACCTTCAATCTTCTACCATCCTGTATAACGAGGTACAACATCGACATATACGACCATCCCATCCTATCCTATCGTATCTTTCTTATCTATCTTACTCTTCTAAGACATCGGATTCGAAGAGTTTAGTTCCCCAAGTTCCATTGTGTGGGAAATTAGAAAAGCCTTGCAAGGATCTTTGAAAGAAGATTGGATTGCATTTGCATTTGCATTGTTATCTCCCATATCCATCGATCCATCGACTCATAAAGAACCCATTGGTCGAAGCGAGAACTATCAATCATCCAATACATCCGCCACAATACTACAACACTACCCAAAGATTAAATAAAACCGAATTCCTACTACTTACCCATTCTTCACGATATTCGATTATTTTCCCTTTCTCTCTACAAGACTCCCGAATTCATACAGTCATACAGTCTTAATAACATACATCATAATAAATAATCATTGATTCACCTAGTACCATTCATATGCCATGATCATTCATCAACCATCAATCGAATATAATTGTGGTTATTAATCATCCAAACATCATTTCTCAATAATCGAATTGGGAAGTTGCTTCGATAAGAACTTTCCGAAGAAGGCTTTACAAGAATAGTAAGGCCTACGATAACCGCATCGTCAACCTACTCTCTCCTATTTCTAGGAGGCGCACAATAGCATCGCCGCCGTTCGGTCGCTGTCACTGTCACCTTGGGTCGCTTTCACCGATAAGAGTTGGAAAAGCAACATTTCATCAATCCCTCTCACCCTTTTCTCTCCTCCACCAATCCTTAACTCTCATATCACAAAGTGAGAGTGAAATTCCATGTTCTTCGAAACAAATCGACAGACTCCCTACCCTCCTCCTACTACCACTTACGACTTCACATCAGAGAAATCGAGAGTGATGTCTACCGATTTCGCAATGCCGGTTCAACAATTCACGGCTTCCCCTTCTCAATATACTCTCTACAACAGCCAACAAATCTCTCCAACAAATACCACCCCGCCAACTCCAAATAATGCTTCTCCCACTTCACCAAGAAACGGACTTCCAAATTATTTACCAGCGCACACTAGACAGTTGCGACCACCCAAGTCACCATTGTATGTGCCAGCGGTTTTGCGACCAACAGATCCACCCAGGAGAATGATGAAGCCATCACCACTTACTCCACCACAAAGTATGCATAGCAGCTTTGATGATTTGGAGAGCGCAACAACATTGACTAGAAGATCGACTGGAGATAGTGGAAAATTTGGCTTGGGCGCAATAACTGAATCTGAATGGAGTGTCGAGGGCCTTGGAAAGGTAACCGCAATGCCAACAAGAAATCACTGGAAGGTATGTTAGCAAACGTTTTTCCCATTCTGTTATTTATGAAGCAAAGCAAAGAAGAAGAAAAGGAAAGATTATGAGCGAGCCTCACCTTTTGTCTTTTCTTTTCTTTTTGCATTCAAGAAGTCTTGGGGTGTTTGGGGTATTTGTAACTTGTGCAAACAATGTTGCAATACCTAAGGGGATATTACGTGCTAGAATTTCGCAATGGATCCCTAGCCGCTATGCACACTATTCCTTATCGCTTGGCTGGGTCGCGTGCTTCAAACAAAATATCTATGCACCTTACATGCCAATTATCTTTCAGTCTTTTACTTCTTAATATCTACCAAGATGGGATGCTAACTCTATCGTTCAATAGCCTGATGCCGAATCCTCCATCTGCGATGAGACTACTTGCACAAAATACTTCACCTACTTCACAAGGCGCCATCATTGTCGGCGCTGTGGAAACATTTTCTGCGATCAACACTCTGGTTATTCAATTCCTCTTGATCAAGACGCCAACTACCACCCAAAGGGCACTCAAAGCCGTTCCTGCGAACACTGCTGGCACGAGTATAGAAGCTGGTCCATTGCACGATCCAGTCGTTCCAACAGCGAAAGCTCTCAAGACGAACCCAGAACTCCCACTACTCCAGTCGTTAATTGTGCCAGAGGTAGAGTTGTCGACAATCTCATTGGCCAACAACTGAAAGGTCCACCCGAGAGTCTTCCAGCAAGTGTCCCAAGAGATTGGCACTGGAGTACCTTTTAGATGAATCCTGGAACGTTACATATATACTTGGACGTTTACGAATTCTACGAATTCCCTTCCTTTTTGATACCACAATTACGATAAGAAACGGCCTATTTGAGAGAAAGATGTATGAACACACAATAATTTTCAACCAACATTGGCAGACATGTCTTCAACAATTTAATGTTTGCTGCGAGTCGAATTTAGCGTTGCTATCGCCTGCTTTCATCGCGTTGAATACCCAAAGATCCAGCTTACTTTTCGATCGGCTTTGAACTAGGCCTTTGTGCCAGAGCAATATACTATTGCTTGCATATCTTTTGATTTTTTCATTGGGGATTTTGTTTTTGGCAAAGATCTTCATACATATTACATTTTAGACTAATTGTCTTTTTGCTTTTTTTGCGTTCGCAGTTGCTTTAGCGTGTGGTTTTTTGGTTGATGCAATACAATGGGACGTCTATATATCATCTAGACTTTGATATTGGCGAATGATGGAAGATTGGGTGTTTGATGGAATGGATCCATTATTCTAATGGATGGCGTATTGGGAATGATATGATCACGGTCATGGACTTATGGGAATGGGAATGGGATTGATGATTGAAGATCGAGGAATGGGATGGATGGGGTGTTTTGAAATGACGAGAGAAGATGAGAAATATAAGGATTGAATTGCTGGCCATATGTTTCTTGTCATAGGGTTAGATTAGATATCATAACTTTGCTACAATGAAAGTTTGAAGATTCAAAGACTATATGTTCTATAGTGTTGCATTGTGATTGGGTGATGGGATCCTAATGTAAGTGAATCAAAGTTCGCGTAATGTCGATATACCAATGCCCTCACCACGATAATAATCGGCTCTTCCAAGCCGCAGACTAGTTCCTACTGACTATCGAATGCTTAATTCTATCAGAGACGAATGGTCAATGCGATCTGGTTAATGCTTAGCGGTTCTTCTAGAGATAAATTCTAGAATGATTTGAGCAGTGAGAGATGAGGTGGAGAGATTCCGCTCTAGGACGGTGCGGTGCGTGCGCTTGGACTTGGATTTGGGAATGTGCTTGGACGTGACATGGACTTGGGGGTGGATGGGGATGTGGATGGACTTGGAGCTTTAGGAGGGGGAGGGAAAAGAAGAAGGGGGAAGATGGCGGAGTCGGGGGTTTGAGGCTTGGATGGAGGAGTTGGGTAGGTGTTTGGGATGGGGATTGGGATTGTGATTGTGATTGGGATTCGGATTGGGGTGGGGTTAGAGTCAAACTTTTTGGTGGGTGATCTTGATTTGGATTGTTGTTGTTGGTGTCCTGAGTTGGTGTTTAGAGGTATAGTGGTGTGAAGAGGGGGGGAGGAGGAAAGGTGTCTAGGATATATATGGATTCAGGGTTAGAAGATTGGGAGATTGGGGGTGCTTGAATTGAGGGGGAGGTGAGCGGATGGGAGCGGAGCGGAGAGGATATTTGGAAGGATGTCTAGGATGGATGGAAGGATTGAGGGACGGATGATGAGATTAGTGTTGTATTGTGATCTCGCAAATGAGATTGAGGGTTGTGTTGATTATTTGGGATTTGGGGGTAAGTTTGAATAGTTGGGGAGATTGGAGATGGAATGGCTCGGGTTGGGAAGGGTAAGTGGAAGGGTACATGGAGAGGGCGGGGGCTTATGATTATTCACTGTTGTCCGAGAAGGGGTGGAGGAATCTGAGTAGGTGCTGGGCAAATCTATAACAGGAGCGGGAAAGGTAGTTCTTTTTTTCTTCGGGTCTGTTGAAGAATAATGCGAGAAGGGAGGGGAGGAAGGAGGGTCGGGGGTTGGGCAGTGAGATGTGGCGTTGATGTTCTTCAAAAAATTCTAACATTCAACTAGGATGGATATCATAAGATGGGACGAAAATGCATGAGTGCTGGTATCGAAATAGGGGTTTTGCAATTCGAGGATATCAGAAACTCGGCATCGTGTATGGGATTATCATGAGAAGCGAGCAGAATTGTTCCAGGATTTTTCGTTAGATTGAATAGGATAGGGATAGAATGGGATGAGATAGGATCAGACTATGGCGGTGAGTACCAGAACTTGGGACTTTCGGATTTGTGACCACGCATTTTGGGATTCAAGGGAAGAGATGTTTAGGTTATCCGAGGAAGTGGTTAGTAAGTGGATTCGGATGAATGGGACTGTCTCAGGCCTGGTGAATAGACAGCTGTGTGATGCACGAGTCAAGGCTAGTAAACTGTCTGAAAACTCATTGAAAATCGCAGACGCTTACAAATATTGATAATATTGTTACTCAATTATAATATCCTAAAATCTTTCGCCATCGGTGCATTTAAAGATAGAACCCACCTCTTTATTTCTCCCACTTTCTATCTTCTACTTCTTCTCTTCATTAGATACTAGTAAACGCCCGCTAAACTCCTTGGCTATCCTTAATTCAGCATCAAAAAGTAATTCGTTTGCCGCCCCTTCGCCTCCCGCCCCCTCGCCTAGTATGTTACCCGAAATTGATTCATTACATCTGGGCCACTTTCAAGAGAACCTTGGAAGTTTTCTGTCCCCTCTACCCACCTCTCGTCTAAGAAAGCCTGATACTTGTGAATGCTCATAATCTCGAAGTTGCAGATGAGGGATAGGATCATGAAAAGCAATAGAAGCACAAAGCTCACTAGATCCTCTCTCATATCTCCTTGCGTCTCCCCCAGAACTTCGTGTGGAGGTCTCACCCCATGTTGACCTTAGATCTCCCAATACTCAATCCTCCACCCTCCGCGACTACCGCATAACAGGAGGTCTTCCTTCCCTATTCCAAACAACTCTACTTCTCACCCATTCTACCGCCTCTCTAACACCTGTTCCACCCAACGCACTAATCGGTAAAACTCGGCTGTCTCTAATCGCACCGCCTCCCTCCCCCTCAAAAACCCTCTTCACTAAACCCTCTTTAATCCTCACAACTTCCACACAATCCTCCCTGTCCTGTTTATTCGCTAAAACAAGCACTGGCACTCCTTCCGTCTCCACACTTTTCAAAACATCTTCCAATACCAATTTACACTCCTCTAATCTCCCCACATCTTTATCCCCAGTATCAGAGTCCAAATCAGCGAGATCCCCAGACCCAATGTCAGTACTATCAATTATAAAGACAATGGCGTGGCAACTGGTGTAGTAAGATTGCCATAATTTTCGAAGAGAATGTTGACCTCCTATATCCCAAATCTTCAGATACATATCTGGAAGGTCGATAGTGGAGACATTTTGACCGACGGTGGGTACTGTTTTTAGCTGTGAGGGTTCTGCTGGAGCGGGGTTGTGCGGGGAATATAGTGATTTGATTTGGGTGTGGAGAGTAGTTTTGCCAGCGTTGTCAAGGCCGAGGAGGAGAACGGAATATTCTGTGGTATGTCAGTCTGCGAAAGCGGAGAAACAGGGTTAGATGTAATTATAATGATAAAAAGGATTCATAGTTATTGTGGAATAGAGAAGAACAGGAGGATTTGTGCGATTCATATTTGCGATGAATCAAAGCCTTGCTTTCAACGAAATCCACCATTGAACACCTAAGCTCGCATTGGCATACGAGTAAGTGCTGAATGATAGGGAATTGAGAGTATATAAGCAATCGAAAGGTCAAAACCAACCCTCTTTACTAGTGGCATATCGATACAACCCCTTTGCTAAATGATACATCTTTTCAATGTCGACTGCGGGACCTGTAGATACCAATCCCCACGATCTCGGAATCCTTGAAAGCTTCGCGGCGCGTCTATAGGTAGAAAAGCCTGTTGAGAACTCGGTAGTATTATAGGATCCTCTGAGAATCGAAAACAGGCAGAGCTCAAGTTCGCAAACAGAGTGCCCAAGGGATTGTGGAAGAGGTGCTATCAAGTAGAGACGCAGGGCGTTTTTGAGAAGATTGTGCAGCATGTGCAAATAGATCTGACTAGGGATTAAGGTTTGAGCTAGGATATTGTTATAACAAACATTGAGCTCATGAAAAAAGAATGAGAAGCTTTTCTAGATGAAATTGAGTAGTGAAAATCAATTGTAAGACATTCTATTCTCAAACATAAATGTATTGCGACGAAGTTCAGCGAAGCCTTGACACACAAGGCTGAACAAAGCTAGAAATGGTTAGGTCAAGCTTGCATGACGCGGAAACTAATGGACCCTTCCCACTAGTTCTAGTGCTCTCACGTGTCAAAGCCAACTAACAACATCAATATCTGAGAATCACATCCAACTTCTTCAGTTGGTATTTTAATCACTTATGAATCTGTATTTTTTTTTTTTTTTTTGGAATTGATATTCGATATTGTTTTGCCTTGATTTGACTTGAGGAAACGTGTGTATGTAAAATGGCGCCGATCGAAATCGATCAGGATCCAAGGTACTACTATGTTCAAATTCATATTCCCACGTTTCGTTGCATCAAATCATCAGACTGTTTGACAACCTACAAACGGGAATACTAATATATACGTATAGTCTCCTTCCAGCTTTACAGCTAGGAGGACATATACTCTTAACGTCATGTCTAACAGCTCTCGTTTCTCGCACCATTTATCGTTCATACCTAGCACTCCCACCTTCATCTGCCACAAGACATCGTCACCTTTAAGAGCGTAATCATGTTAGGATATTCATCATTTGGCTTTATTGGGTCTGATTACTGCTGGATGGTTCGGTGTGAGCGGGGCGAGTTTAAGCTATAGAGTTTGGGCACTTGAGAGATGGTGTGAGCTGCCTGATAGGTCTGTTATCGCAAATCTTCCAGAGGAAGTTAACTATATGGCATGAAACATACTCACGATAAGAACAGTCTTTTTGGGGACAAAGGTGCTTTTCGATTGGGTCAACATCCAGGTCGATTCGAAATCATCAGATGGCTCAATGATACACCTTTCTACCGTGATAATCTTGAGATAGTCGCCGAAAATACAAGATACTTTTGGTGGGGCCAACAAGCTAATTTTGCTATGAATTCATTCAGTACCTATGTAGCTATCGAAGGACGTCGAAGAAATATCTCTAACCTATGGGCATTCATTCTCTTGGGACAACTTGTTAATGTATCATTTGCTCAAAATCTGTGGTTCGTGGCTATTCTGTTGACTCCAGTTCCATTGCCAGAGAACGTGGATGTCTTGACTGATACGAGGAGAGTTTTCGGGGGTGTGCACAAGTGAGTTATTTTTTTCTGTGATTAGAACACGTGTTGACTCTCATGATTTAGACTATGGTTCGAGAAGATCGTTCCACAAAGAGCTCATAACTGGCTACCGAGCCCTGGTTTCTACATTGCCTCACTTATCTCTGGTTATGGTGCCTTGTTCTTGACACCTTTTGCGGCAAATACATCTTCATTTGGGACAGTATCACTCTTGTCGGTTTCGCTTCCATTCGCACCATTATTACTTCCATACATAATACCTGAGCATTGGGGAACTACGTACGATCACCCACATGAAGCTCATTCTTCATACACGAAAATCTTTCGCAGTATCTCCATTATATCCTCGATTCTTCATGTTAGAACCACTGGACTGGCTTTACTTTACAATACCCCAGAGAATCACTATTACCGCCACAGTCTACTTCATCCGCTTGAAAGGGTCTATCGATCAAACACAAATCGTGCATTTACAGCAGTGGAAAGAGTTTTCGGTGCAATATCAGACCACCCTGCTGTAGCATCTGTCGGATATGATGTTATTCTTTCTGGATTGAGTCTTGGGACATGGGCTGCTGTGAGAGGATTGGATGGTATCGAGATTTTACGAGTGGTCATTCCTTGGATGAAGAAAGTTAAAACAGGAGTAAAGGTCAAGGAGGAAGCGGAGGGTATTTCTAAACTGTAAGTTTTCAAGCTCATTCTTTCAAGATATTTGATAGCTGATCAACACACAGAAGTGATACGCCCTCTCCAATTCGTCGCCGAGGCCGTCCTAGGAAATCGAATAGATCTTCACAAGATGCCGCGTATGTCCCAACGGCTACTACTACTACAAATCTAGCTGAGGGTGATTATGATGAAGATGAAGATTGGGAAATTGCAGCTCTTACATGGGGTGTATTGTCCGCTACAGGTCTAGGTGTTGGCAGCGCCGGAGTTTATGGCGCAGAGATGACAGCTAGATGAGGGGCTGGTGGAATGAGGCAGGAGGATATTTTGATGAATGGCAATGAAGCGAGATGAAGGGCTGGACTGGCAATGGGATAAATACAAATGGAGTTATGGTTGCGTTGTTTGGTATTAAATTGGCGTAACACCTGCCCACACGGCTCAACAGTGAGTAAAATTATTGGGTCTGAATAATATTTCTACAAGAATCTTTGCAGACGACAATTATGACTTTATCGCTATGGTATCCAGGTTTCACAATTAATTTCATGGTTTATAAACTGCCAACGGGAAGCACAAAAATCCATCGACCCACGCTCTTGTGTTTGTGAAAGATTCGTGCAGTCCGTCATACAAGCCATAAGCTTAGCCTTCTGAATGCATTTCCCATTTAACGATTTCAGATTTACCTACAAAACTTCTGAACAGTTTGGCCCAGGAGAAGATATCAAAACTCAGATGAGGTAGTATTGACAGGTACCTACCTGACTTGAGATTTGCAACAAAGCTTGAGAGTTGGCTCATCTGATACCTGGGGTCTGACATGTGTTGATAATGGTGATCGCAAGGGTGCTTATGTACGATCCCTTGTATGTTGGATCCCCTCGGATATTTGATCGAATTGTTTACAGGATGTTGGGATTAAAGAAAATTGATCATTCCATTTAGATTTTGGATAACTTCAAGGTCCTGAGAGAAAGTGGTTGCGAATTGAAATCTTGGTAACATGGGACGACGATATTGGTTTCTGACTTTTCGACCATTACTTGCCATCACTTGTATTTCTTGTACACATATATCAAGTGTGAAACCCCATTTAAAAACAGAATCACCGCGCAGGTTAGACCAATAGTGTTGATATACCTACTGAAGTTGAAATGCTTATTAATCTTTGTATGGGCCAAAGTAGACATGCCGTTCCAAGGTCAACAACCAGCCCCACAATATATCCTCACTTCACTTCCAACGACAACATTCACTGTCGTCGCCTCACCACTTTTCCCACGCACCCCATCGAAAGTCTCAAAAAATCTCCCGCGAGCAACAAAACCTCAGCATAACCATGATAAAGAGTCCTGAAATGGATAGAAAAAAGAAACAAAAAAACGCCGGCCGCCACAATCCGCGAAAGGTCTCTCGCTATCTGGGATCGTCTTGAACCTAGTATGAAGCAACTTGTGCAATCTTGAACCTCTACCGCTGTGCTAGACGCACATGCCGGGCCGAGAGTTTTGTTTGTGAACTGGATTTATATAGTACAGGCCAGAGGCGAGGGGAAACTTACTGCACTATGTTAGGTAGTCAATCAAAGAGTGCCTGAGTAAAATGATCTTTTATAGGATAGCTGCATATCACAAAGAATTATTTGCGATGGTGTATATGGATTTCAATCTCTGAACTATCATCGAGGAATCAAATAGACGTCCAATGGCATTTACTGCTGCTCTTACAGATGATTCAGCATTTAGTTCATTAATGGTTATTAGATACTCCATGAGAACGAAATACTACTCTATCTATAGAGCTCTCCAACATTGGTACTGAGACAATCCATCACAAATCTGCGTTCAAAGAATATAGACTGAGATCTTGTACTCCATTTTCCAAGCTCCGTATCTAAAGGGAAGTAATGACAATCTTCAAGTAGTCTTGTTCGCATGAGATGCGTCTCAATTTGATATGCAAACTTACTGGTAATACGATCAAATGCCTTCCATATTCATTACTGACTCCTCGTATCATTTTCCAGCAAACTGCAGCGGTGGAGCGAAGTGGGTCGATGCGAGTGACTGTTGAAGACTTCCGTTTCAGAATTAGATAGCCATAGATTTTTGAATCTTTGGCGAGAGTCATGTCATCACTCCCAAATAAAGATCCGAGGTTTGTGGAGAAGCTTATAAGTAGTATCAGATAGATTTGCTCGCAAGGGTTTGCTCCTAACAGCACTGCTTGAGGACTCATTGACGAGTTTGTTGCTATCGAGGGTGGTTAGCAATGCAGAGTCCTCATTTTACCGCGACTGGACGTTGATTCGGTGAAAAATGAAGTTGAGATATGCTTCTCCCGCAAGCAATGTTATTGGGTTTTCCAGGAAAATCGAACACGATCTACAGAGCAGTCCTTAGGAAATTGCCCACTGGTTCTTGCTCGCTACCTACTGGTATGCCCAGGCGGACGAACATCATGCCGGCTCTGCCTGTATTGCCCAGGACTGATTCCACAAAGGCAATCCAGTATTCGCCTCGACGGAAATTATGCACAGTCCGATTACCCTAATCTCTCGTGCTCTGTTTAGTGATCTCTGAAAGTTGTTTCATGCCAAGGGGTCAAGTACCCGCGATGCGTGATCAACTTGGTAGCGGGGCAATAAACGTCCCGGGAATCCAGCTCTGTTAAGATAGGATAGCAAGTTGGAAGTATCGACGCTCTTAACGCGAGATCATCACCTTCTTTTTCTTTTACGTTCCCTCGCATACATCTCCTGTGTGTGATTGAGGAGGGGGGGTTGGTAAATAAAAAGGAAGTATGAGTGATAGCTATAAACCCCTGCATATGTAAGGTTAGCATTAAGTATAAAATATCAAAAAACAGGTCTTTAGATAGAGGTTCACTGCAGTCCCATTCTTTGGTTCAAAATGTTATCCCAATTGTAACTGAATTGATCTATTAAAGTTATTACACTATTACCTAAACGCCATCAGATACTACTAGGTCATCACTAATCAACCTAAAACCTGATCTGGGGTTCTTTCACAACATCCCTTGCTAGCCTCGGTACACGGAAGACAAGCCCCGACCAGAATGATCTATCAAAGACTCATGTGAAGGACAACACAGTTAAACTGGAGCTCAAGCTTATCGTCAATCTTTATATTTAAATCTATATATATGAACATATCCTGCCGCTCATTTCTTTATCATACATACTTGACACTCTATCTTAAATTTGAAATCTTCCACAATGACCTCGAATATGGTTGATATCATTGCACCAATTGTTGCTCCACTGCCCGACCCTCCAAAGGATCAATACTTCACAGATCTCCAATGGAGTACATTAATGGCGATTATGGATACCGTCATTCCTTCAATACATAAAGCTTCGGTCACAAATGATCCATTCGGTCAAATCTCAGTTCCCGATGAACAGTACAGTGATGCTGTAGCTCATATGCGAGCGACAATCTCATCGCCACCGTCAACGGAAGCATTAGAAGCATACCTCAATGAAAAGCCGTCTGATATTCCAGCCTTTCAAGATATCCTTCTTCGTGCTTTAACCATATATGCTCGTGAGGATGCTCGGAAAGTCCTTGGTTTCATTCTCACCACTCTCAATACCCGCCTCGGCTCATTAATGCTCACAGGCTACGCTTCACCCCTACAGTCTCATCCAATCAACATCCGTGAATCAATCCTTGTGAACTGGCGCTATTCATACTTCTTTCCGCTCCGCGCCATCGCCAAAACAATGTCGTTATTAGGTAAAAACATTTGGCTGAAAACGTCACCGAATTTCGATCGAGTCACGGGTTTTGTCAAAGTTCCCGATCATTATGAACCAGGTCCCCATTACGAGTATAAGTTTCTTCAATTTCCGGCAGGCGAAGAACCTTGGATTATCGAGACAGATGTTGTGATTGTGGGAAGTGGATGCGGAGGTGCAGTTTGTGCGAAGAATATGGCGGAAGATGGACATAAGGTTTTGGTGGTGGAGAAATCCTATTATTATCCTCCTTCACAATTACCAATGTCCGAAGCGACTTCGGGTATTCACCTCTTCGAAAATGGAGGGGTAATTATAAATGATGATTCCAGTATGTCGATTGTAGCGGGTAGTAATTGGGGAGGTGGAGGAACTATTAATTGGAGCGCAAGTTTACAAACACAAGATTTTGTGAGGAAAGAATGGGCTGAGGATAGAGGATTGAAGTTTTTTGCTTCGACGGATTTTCAGGATTGTTTGGATAGAGTTTGTGAGAGAATGGGTGTTAGTGCGGAACATGTAAGGCAAAATCATGGGAACCAAGTGTTATTGGAGGGTTCGAGAAAGTTGGGATTTAATGCGAAGCCTGTTCCTCAAAACACTGGAGGACATGAACATTATTGTGGACATTGCTCAAATGGATGTGGATCTTCACAGAAGCAAGGGCCAGTCGTGTCTTGGTTACCAGATGCTGCGAAGGCTGGTGCAGAATTTGTTGAAGGTTTCAAGGTTGATCATGTTATTTTTGACGAATTGGATGAGAAAAAGGCAGTTGGAGTGAAAGGAGTTTGGACTTCGAGGAATGTTAAGGGTGGTGTTGATGGCCCTTTATCTGGTAAAACAGTCCGAGAAGTTATTGTCAAGGCGAAGAAAGTTATCATCTCGACTGGCACGCTTTGGACTCCTATTATATTGAAAAATAGTGGTCTCACAGTAAGTTTTCTCTTTTTATTCCACATACTAACAGCCTACTAAAATACATTAACAGAATCCACAAATTGGAAGGAACTTATATCTTCATCCAGTCAGTATGGTCAGCGCCGTATTCCCCGAGGATGTGAAGCCATGGGAAGGTATGTCAATTTGATCTTAAATTCTTTTCTCTTAAATTTTATGCTAATAAGCCTTCTACTAGGTGGCATCCTCACAAGCGTATGTAGCTCTTTCGAAAACCTCGATTCGCACGGCCACGGCGTCAAACTCGAAGCAACTTGTATGATGCCATCCCTCTCCCTCTCATTTCTCAACTACCCAACCGGATTCGACTATAAGTTTAAATCTCTCTTCTACCGCCACATGAATGCTTTCATCTCCATCGCTCGGGACCGCGACAGTGGACTTGTATATCCTGATGCCAAGACCGGCCTCCCAAGGATCTCATACACCCCGAGCGATTTTGACAGAAGTCACATTCTGCAAGGTGTCCTTGCCTTGGCAAAGATCTGTTATGTAAGCGGCGCAAGAGAAATACATACCACGATTCAGGGTCTTGAGCCTTTTGTTCGTTCTCCAGCTTCTCTTTCCATCAATTCAAACGACTTTTCTTCCGACCCTTCTTTCCAAACTTGGCTCACAAAACTCTCTACTATGAACACAAAACCTCCAGCATCTCAATTTGCATCTGCGCATCAAATGGGTACTTCGCGCATGAGTACACGCCCGGAAAATGGAGTTGTAGATCCCAAAGGAAAGGTTTGGGGCGTGGAAAATTTGTACGTTAGTGATGCAAGTGTATTTCCAAGTGCGAGCGGTGTTAATCCGATGATCACAAATATGGCGATTAGTGACTGGATTAGTAGAGGCATTAGTAAGGAATTAAATGAGCAAGTTGGTGGAGAGAGGGTCGAGGAAAGAGCGAGGTTGTGAATATCGAATTTCAGGACTTGGTAACGGGATATACTGTCATGATTGAAATCAGAACGGCCAACTGGTTTTCAATCGGCTTGGTATTAGATATGTCTTTATGGACTGCGGAGCTATTTGCACCCGGTTTGTTTCTTTATTTGACGGTTAGGGAATTTATTATTACAGCTTCTTCTCAATACTCGAAGCATCTGTTTCTGCGACACGATACACGATTTTTTTGATATCCTTTCACTCTCAAAGCAATTATAGCGCACTTTTATTCACTCCGAGATCAACACATCTGTCATATCTCTTGGCAGCCTTGGGATCACTGCCTTGCCGTGATCGTTCTCTTTCACTGTTCACGACAATTTTCTTCTATCAGATGACTCTGAACTTCTAGAACAAACCAGTCTTTCATGAGAACTTCAACAACAGTAGTACAAATATTTCTAGGACTTAGTAGGTCTAGCTCAAACGAATCTCTGAGAAAGAAAAGCGCACTACTCTTTTTAAGTGCCCCCATAAACCTACCAGATACCCCTCTTAGAAATTCTAGAACTTCTAGAAAAACTATATATCCTCTGGCCAATCACTTTGGCGTCGCTATCAAAGAATTCCTCATATTCGTCCTCTTCATTTTTTTTCTTCACATCAACGCGAACAATGATAAGCCTCAAGAACAATGTTAAGGAGACGTACTAAATTTGCCGAGAAATTAAGTCTTCTCAACAGCGAGTATTTTCTTTTCTTTGAAGATTTTCATTATTACCATATTCCCGACTAAAGTCTCTAGAGTATTTATACATATACAATAGACAGAGAGAGAGATGAATAAGAAGAGATCTCCATCTTCCCACTTATCCACTCCCCCATTCTCTCATTTTAATTCTCGTTCATACACCTAGCCATTCGTTACCTAGGCATCATTATCAGCACCTTCAAACCAATTTTCCATTATCAATATAGCCACGTTCATTAACAGTTTAAATACAAGAAAAGATGTTTGCCCTACCAATCGTTACAACATTTCCTTACTACCCACGACCTCCTCATATTCCTCCCTAAGATCGTTTGAAAGCTCTTGAGGCATAGCAACGAGATCCTTTACCTTCCTGCCCGCTCTCTCAATACCTACGCATCACAACTCTCAACTTTACAACAAAATATAAACCATCCAAAAACCAAAAAGATGTGGAACAAGAATCCAGCAATAGCACAAACATTGACCCAAATCGCACAAATTCAACCGCTTCCAAAGCCATACATACCCCTCATCCTCAAATCCTCGCGACTAGATAGATACATACCATCAAGATCCCACATTCTCTCACCCCCGATCAAAACACTCAAAGATCATTTTCACGCTCGCAATATCAATCAATCACTAGCAAAACAAGCCCCTTTCAAATGTTACGTATCGCTTTCGAAGCTCGCAGATATTAAATCTATCTTTCTCCTAACTCTGTGCAAGAGCTATGCGTTGCAATGGTATTCTATCGCACCCCAAATAGTATGCATCAGCGCGCCACACTTATATTCAAAATTCTCTCAAATCTTCCTCGATCAAAGATGGTGCGGTAATAATGGAGAACATCTACCATTCGTCGCTTCATCAACCCATGATCTTTTACTTTACATATTATACTGCGATAAGTATTCGAGCCCACAGCTTACAGCGCACAACAAAAATATCATTACCACCTACCGATCTACCTACCCACCACCCTTCCCCTACAGGTATACCGACCAGAACTTAGAGATATAGAAAGCATCATTGTTCACCCTAAAGAAATGTACATAAAGTCTCACAAGAAATACATTGCGTCGTTTATCTCACAAGCACCCAAAAACATATACACACGTGTTTAGACTTATTTCGTTATTTGCATTTAATCTCATGGATTTTTCATCAATTGAAATGCTATCAGTGTATGTTCGCTGAAAGTTAGGATCAGGTCAGGTTATGTATCCACCACCATCATTTTCCCACCCCTCCTTATTTACATATCCCTTCCCTATTTATCCTGGCCCATGCAAACTCCCGAAGCTCTATTTGCGCAGCTATGCATGGATTTTCTATGTTCATTCGTATCCTCGTATTGAGCAAGAGCAAAAGCAAGCAATAAAAAAGGAAAACCCGAGAGAAAACAATATGCATATCCATCTACACGTCAGTCATTGATATCAAATCAACCTCCATGTAAATGTCTGCCAGTGCCCTTCCTCATATCGCAAAAAATAACAATGTGGTATCATAACGAAGGAAAATAAGAATCGACCTTCAATTCCCAGTAAAGTTTAGAGTTGTCGCTTCATCCCTCCAACTCCAGAACCCCTAAAATTATAACGTGCCCCTCATATTTGCTGTTTGTTTCGTTCGCTCAAAATGTTTTTAGAAAGATGTTGTTGATGATGTTTGTTATTGTACATCGGGTATCAAAAAGGAAAGGAAAGCGGAAAGTAAATTGATATTTTCAGTGTGTTAACTTCGAGGCCGTGAAAATGACGCTGGTTTTATCAATGCACCACCTTACGAGGATCTAGTGGAAGGGTTTTTAGCTTGGGAAGTGCTAGAAGCACGATTTGTTTCTCCTCGAGCTAATCGTCGTTGTTGAATCTGTCGCATTACTTCTGAGTCTTCAGAATGCATGGTTCCCCGATGTTTCTTCTTCTTTTTGGGGGTTACCACAGGAGTCCTCAGTGATTGCGGCTGTCGATTCATGGCTTGGAACATTTCGGTCTGTGATTAAGTATGTTAGTTTTGGGCACAATTATGATCCGAATATTCTTTGAAGAAGTCCTTTTTTGGGAGAAGAGATTGATGGCACTTCGTCACTTGATGATGAAGTGGTTGAGAAAGAATCATCAGGTTTGTCAGATTTGTCCACTTTGACATTGGTGTTGACTGTAGCCACAACCGAATTATTCAAGGGCACTGCTCCAATAGACTGATTCTCCGCAAATTGTGATATCCGATTCTCACCCACCGGAGTCGTAATTAAAGCAGAAGGTTCGACAGGGTGTAGTATTACCTCGGCAAGTAAGTTAGTGGACCTGTGATTGGGGATATCTCCCGTGGAATCCTGTGATAGAACATCTCGCTCTTTGGGTACAATTTCTGGGACGTATGGGCTGTCGGGAACATCGTTATTTTTCGCAGATATCATACCGCCCTCTTGGTTCAGTCTGTTGGATTCCTCAAATGGCAAGCTAGATGCGGGAGGCTGTTGTTGGACAGAGAAAGTGGCTGCGTGGGAAGTAGCTAACTCAACCGTACGATATGGAGCTTCAGTCCTCTCTTCCATTTGTGCTCCTCTGGCTGCACCCAAAGAGCCGGATTTTAGGGACATCACAGACTCAATCTGATCGTCACCATCTGCGGCCTGTCTATTGCCGTTCTGCGTCAATGAAACTGAAGTCTGGAGCTTATCGGGGTTATCTGATGGGACTGAATTTTGAACTTGTTGACCAGTGGCCAGTCTTGGCTCTGGGCGCTTATCCCACCACGATGCAAGTTGTATCAAAAAATCACCAGCACTTAACTCTGAAGAAAAGAATTGTTGAGCAATAGCAGGGGATTGGCGAATGAATGCGTAAGCTCTTTGATAAATCATTCTTCGAAACTCGTCGGTCCATTCAACTCTTCCAGGGTACCATTTTTTGATATTCATCCTTATCTCTGCAGTTCTTTGTCGAATGATATCTTCGTTCTTAAGTGGATCAGTACTCCTGGCAATGCTTTTAAGCTCTTGAAAGAAAAGTCGCTGTGCCTATGAGATATTAGCTTTCTGTAATCTGAAAGATATTTATTGAAGTTGTGTCTTACATAAAGCCCTGGTGATATCTCTTCTACGTCTGAATTGCCATTTTCGTATTCGGAATTCTTCGCAAGATTGTTACTAATGACCATTTCGCTCTTGACAGTAGAAGCCATCTGAGGCTGTCTCTGTTGAACTTGTTGATTTGCGGCACTAATTGCGACTCGTTGTCTCTTTCGCATAAGTAATTCGTAAGCTCTAGGATCAGAGCGCTTCAGCTGTTCTTCGGCAACCTCTTGCTGAACCTCTTTTTTCTCTTCGGGTGTCATCTTGTAATCATCGTCTTTCTCAAAATCGTCAGATTGGATAATCTTCAAAATTGCCCCCTTGTTCTCTTTGAGACTCAAAATGGTGTCAAGGACGACGCGGTCTATTCCTTCAAATTCCGAAAGATCTTCTTGTGGGATTTCTCTTGGTTCAAAGAGAATCTCTCCCAAGCCTTTCTGTGCCCATGATAATGGATTCTTTTTATCAACGACTCTAGAAGCAAGTTGCGTTTTGAACACGGCTTTATTCTGGATACTGCCTTCGAAAGTACCAGCGGCCATCAAACGGTAGACAAACACGTGTTTCTTCTGTCCAATACGATATGCTCTGCCGATTGCTTGCTCTTCGTTAATTGGATTATACTTGAAGTCAAAAATAACCACCCTGTTAGCGCCATATAAATTCAAGCCCAAGCCACCAGCAGTAGTCGAAATCAGGTAGAGCTCCAAATCATTGGAGTTGAAATCTTTGACAAGTGCCTGGCGTTTGTTCATAGCAGTTTTGCCATCGAGCCTTGCATATTTTCTGCCTTGATCCCTGCACATGAGTTCGAGAAAGTCAAGAGTTACAAGTGTTTGAGAAAACACCAGAACTTTATCACCTACCGCTCTGGAAGCATCGAGTATTTGACAAAGAATCCGGACTTTATTTGACAGTTCTGGGCTTGTAATGCTCCCCAGCACAGGCCCAAAAACCTTTGCTTCTGCCGAGATTAAATCTTCCGAGACCCCAAGTTTCCAGGCTTCTGGATCATTCTCAAGATCTGTCACATCCTGAGGTTCCATTAGCTTACTCTTTCGAGTGCGAGATGTAGTACTAGTTTGGGGATTGGCCTGAGAACTTCCTTGCAACTCGTTGCTTCGCGCATCCAATTTTGCCTTGAAACAAAAAGGGTGATTGCAAAGCAGAGTCAGTATATTGATATATGACCATACAGTTGTTTGTTTTAGCTCTCCAGACTTCGTTCGAGAAGGTTTCTGTGAAGACATTGAGCGCACATAAGTGATATATGCTTGCTTCTGCAGTTCAGTAAGGGAAACATTGATGGTGAATTCCTTTTTCGGTGGTAAATCGTCTCGAAGGACTGACGTATCTGCACGATGTACTTTCAAGGATAAATCGGCCTTCAAAATCTCAAGCATTTTTTGACTTCTGAACTTCTCGCTCCGAGTGCTATCAGCAAATAGGCCTTGCTCGATTGGTTCTTTGTATTTCTTTCGAAACTCAATCTTTGGACCAAGATAGTTAGGTGCAACCCACTCAACCATTGTATGGTATTCCTCTACATTGTTGGCAAGAGGTGATCCAGTCAATGCAATTCGGGTTTTGGTTCTGAACTGGGTGGCGGCCATGTTCAAAGCAGAAGTGTAATTCTTCATCTTGTGCGCTTCATCGGCCACGACAATGTTTGGACCTTCAAGAAGTTTAGTCTTGGCCCGCTCGAACTTCTTGATCATGGAAGGTGTCATAGGATTATCCGGCTTTGACTTCGGTGGAGCAATGAATCTGCGGAACATATCATATCCTATGAGCAAAACCCCTCCCTCTTCAAACCAATCATCAATAGCACAGAATCTGCTTTTAAGGTCAGACGCTGATTCTACCGGTCTCAAATCCCCTAGGATATCATCTGGTGACCAAGTAAGAATTTCATCCACCCAATTGGCAATCAGTCCAGGAGGACAAAGGATGATTGTTTTTGACACACGAAGACTTTCCGGAACTTGTGATGAGACGGACTCATCTATTGAAGATGCTGCTTGAGCTAGTGTGACTAGTATAGTAATCCTGGCAAATTGTTAGTTACATATTGCAGGAAATGATTCGCCATACTCACGTCTGCATGGTTTTCCCAAGTCCCATTGTGTGTGCAAGAAGGCAGCCTTGTGTCGCCTCCCCATCTGCAGTAATTTGATTCCAAATAAATCTTACACCTTCCAATTGATGAGGTTTTATGCGCTTGCCAATATCTTTATCGACGTAAATGTAACCTTGATAATCGAATTTGCCCTCATTGATAATGTGGCGATCTAGTGCCACATCTCCAACATCATCGGATTCTCTCAATCTAGCTCTAAGTTGTTTCTTACGCTCTTCTTGTGCAGTTACTCGTGCTCTATCTTGCTCTCGCAAGTTCCGAGCATCTGCATCCTCAAAGAACTTTATTTTCTTTTTGCTTGGAGAGTCATCTTCCCCTTCAGAAAACTCACTATCACTTGTACTGTTATCGTCTATTAGTCATGAACAAATTGTATTCCATAAAAATTGTAGTATCTTACCTAACAGATTTACGTTTTCTCTTGACTGGGCTTTGAGGTTCGCCATCCTCATCTTCATCGTCACCAGACACCATTGCAACCGCCGAGGAGAATTTCGACATAGGAAACTTCAGACGTATTTTTGGGTTGAAGTAATCTTGTAATGATTTGCAAAGGCGATAGAAATGACCGAGGGAGTTGAAGTCGTCACTGGTAATTGAATCGGCAGCGAAGAGCATCCATCCTTCATCTGCCAGGTGAAACTTGCAATCAATAAAAATCCAGAATAGTCTGATAAGAGTCAATAATGCCTTGCCCGACTGCTCGTCCAAACCCTTTGTCTTGTGACCAGGTTCTATGGATTCTTCTATGCGAGTTCTTAATTTTGTCTCGTCATCCATGGTTGCAATGAGCTCAAACAGTGACTTCTGAATTTGATTTGGCAGCTTGTCTACAACTGTAATGATGAGTCGGTCTCGGTCTTTAGAATCCTCCCAAGTCGCATATTCAAATCGAGAGACTGCGGCCGGTGTTGTGAGTGATGGAGGATTGTTTAGATCTAAAATAGGTCTCCCGGAATGACGTTCTCGGTCAGATTCGGATGAAAGAACGATCGGGTTGACAAGACTTGAAGATGTGTGATTCAAGTTCAATTTTGATACTCGATTGCTCTCTGGCGTTACCAAGTCAATTTCAATGCGATTCTTTTGAGGCGTGCATGCTGATAGCAGAACTTTCGGCTCACTCTTGACTTTATCTGAAGGGGAGTGCTCAATTGGCTCGGGTGATTCGAGTTCCTCCTCATCAGATAACGAGGTCATATTGTGGTCTTCTTCACCGATGTAACCATTCCGGACAGATGCTTCAGATCGTGGTTGAGCTCTTTCTCGAGATGGTGTCACTGAAGCTTCTGGGAGACTATCATCGGACATGGTCACATCTTCTTCGTCGTCGGCAAGGTCGAGTTCCTCCACAATAAAATCGCCAACATCATGCACACTTTCGACAGCAGAAGACTCACTATGTATCGATTCTCCTGAGTCGCTCTGGTTACCGGAAAAGATAGTCTTCTTTGGTTTGACTGGGATATCTGCTGCCAATCTTGGAGGTGGCGACTTCTTTTGAAGAAGCGCCATCGTATAGATCAAATCCTCTCGATCAAAGATTGTTGCTTCCATGATGCGGGTTTGGTAACGTACCTGGTGCTCATTTGACCACTGACCAAGTATTATGTTTTCTCTAAGTTTGGGGATGCGTCTGTCAACAAGGTGTTTTAAGTCTTGCTGCGCCTTCAGAATATCTGCATGCTTTGACCCTGTCTTACGTGATTTCGTCCAAAGTCTGAATGCTTTTTGACGACGTTTGGGGAGCTTTGTTTCTTGCCACTGAGAAACAAGATCTGCGATACCTGCATCAACGGCCGCTTCTACCTCTTGCGAGGTTAGAAACTTATTCCTTTGTTTCTCCTTCTCGATATATGCAGCTCTCTCCTTAGCCTCCTCATCTATAGCCTCCCAAGTTTCGGTGTCAAAACCATTCTCTGAACCAGATTCCCCGTACAAAGGTAACTCTTCATCATCGTCCTTGAGCATGATGTATTTACTCAGAGCACCAGGTTCCTCATACGCATTCGCCAAAAGATCAACTTCCGCATTCGAATCAAAGTCAAAGGTCGATTTCCCGGCGTTCGAAGGTTTTATGGGGTATGCTTCTGGATCGATCTCGGGCCATGATGCCAAGGCTTGCCGGGAGATTTCGGTAGTATCAGAACTAGAGCGATATAAAGTGAATGAAGGTTTTGGGGCAAGTCGCAAGCGATATGGTTTAATGGCGATTAAGGTCTTGTGATTTCGCTTGAAAAGTTCCGGGCTAACACGAAGAAAATGTTTCATCAAGCTATGAACATATAAACGACGGCCAAATGAGATGGAGCTCCGTTCTTGGAATTCAAGAGCCATTTCACCCGGCAGAATTTGTTCGCCTGCAGCAACTTTGCCATAAAAAACATTGTCTACAGAGATGCGCGAATTACCCAAATAACCCTGATCGAGTTGTGAATGGAGAAATATGCGAACAGTATCAGCTTCGGTGGGTATTGTGCGATCTCTTGTTTGATCGATGGCCGTTGTAATGAGTGTTGGGGCAATGCGCTTGCGCGTCTTGGTAGGTTGCACCTCGTTGGAAGCATGGACTAAAGTTTCGAGGAGAATTTGCTTGTTCGGAGATTCATCTTCTGAATGCGGAGGGTGAAGAGGGGGCGTCATGCAGAGAGGGTCAGAATGATTAGGTTCCAATGGGCCATCCCGATTTGCGCCGTGAGTGTTATCGTCATCTAGCTTCTGTTGCTTGTTATTGTTTCCTTCGGACATAGACACATTCTCGACACCTTGGCTCGAATTGCGATTTGGCCCTTCAGTCTCATCAACCGTAAAAAGCCTCAGAGGCTGCAAACTAGGGATATTTGGGATACCGGAAATATCAGCTGGCATGTGAATGGGCACAGTCGAATTAATGGTGAAATTGAAATCGGCATGAGAAGATACACTTGGTAAGCTATTACTGTATCTCTCTGCAACCAAAGCAGAAGCACGTTCCCTATTCAGCCAGACCTTATATTTCGCGCTTCGTTCGCGGAGTTGCTCAATTCCATATCGAATGAAAGACCGCCAGCCAAGTTTGGTTATTTGCAGATCTTCCCGTAGACTCTTGTCATCAATCTCAATTAGAAGGATATCTCCCGTAATTTCGTTCTCCCGAAAAGCTTTCTCTAAAAACACTGGGTCGGGTATACGAGTAGAGGCTGCGCGAAGTTCCCAAGATCGTTGATCGGTGCAAAACTCTTGAACTATCCTGTCAGTCGACCATGACCAGGGGTCGTCGGCCTCCATTTTTGTATTAAGGTGATCAAGTTCGCTGTTGGGCATGAGGAAAGCTTTGGCGACGGAAGCGGTAGCTGTGATAGCCAACGAAGAACGTGAGACTCGCGAACTATAGGAAGATGGTTAGTTATGGTCATAAATGACGGCGAATAGTAACACCTCTGTTCTGAAAGGCCGAATTTATTAAATATAAGAGAATGAATTGATATGAAGAGTAAAGGTTGGAGGTAACATGTGGTAAGGATGTGGATTGCTCACATTAGAGAGTGTGCGTGGTATAATAAAAGGTTTGAATTGAACTCCAATAAAAGTTCAGTCGTCGATTTATCTAGGGATCAAATGTAGATCGAGCTATAATAAGTGAATTGGTAGAAAATGGGTCGAGCTGTGTAAATAATTAAAGTTGAAGTCATGTCAATACCAATCGTATGACGGGAACCATTTAGATGGCGACTTTGCGCTCCTGGGAAAAGAATAAATAACTGGTATTAGAAAGAAGCAAATAATGCAAAATCTCTCTCTCTTCGTATGAGAAGGTATTGTGGCACGAAACTTATCAAATTTCTATTCCAGAATCGTAGAGACGGCGGTTAAGTTGAAGTTGAAGAGATCAGAGGGGTAGGACAAGAGAGGAGGGGAAGCTTGAGCCAGAAAATAAGAAATTGAAGTTGAATTGAAGACTGACGCGAGCTTTCGTGGCCATCAATCACGAAAATGCGTGCTTGCTGCTATAATCTAAAGGGGTCTTCAGCCTTGCGACTTATCTGATCAAGGAGTGGGCCATGATGACAATCACGTGGTGATAACAGAGCTCAAGGTCATTCTGTCGAGGCTGTCTTGCATCTATTTCCAGAGAAAAAATGTGTTGTTTCATATTTGAAAAGTCAATATTCCTACTAGATATTGGTATTGCAACAGTTGAAGAATGGTGTATTTGCTACCCACTTGCCTACCTAGAACCTACGTATACAATACCTATTCCTTTGGTGAACTTTCCAAAAGCTTTAATTACTGGCAAGATGATCACGGAGCATATACATTTCTTATCGTTATCGGTACTTTTAGCCTTGCATAATTTTCACTCAGCCTTGTGAACCCCACTAACAGATCTCATTCGAAGTGGATCGACCTATTTCTTCAATGTCGTGACTGATGTGATGACAAATTATCTAAGCAGAAGACCACCGATATCATTATCAAATCTTCTCAACCTCGATCCCATAGACATCATTTACGTGTTTATCGTCGTTTTCCTAGGACAACATAACCTTTCATACCAACCATACACTAATTCCCTCAATCAACCTTCGAAACTGTAGCTCATCATGACATCTTCATATCCTCCCGAGATTTCGACAAAAGAATCAGAACAACTTCTCGTAACCATCAAAGATTGGTCTATAGCTCATGGATTGGCCGTAAGGCCTCCACCGACATTTTTGCCTACAGAAGCAGATCCTCATGGGGTCTTAGCAACTACTGCTCCAGTCACTCTCTTTCCAAGTCCCTTTCCTCGAATATGCTTTGAGCAAGCCAAATCGGTCCAGAAAGCTTATAATCTCTTATACGCATCGATTTCTCAAGATGAGGCCTTTCTTAAAGATATCGTTCAAGAGTAAGATTCGATGGAATTCCGCTTTACCATTTTTCTGTTTCAATGTGCGTTGCGTGAATTCTAACTATTTTTAGAATCCTCGAAGTAGATGACTTCATTGCCGAACTTTGGCGTGTTCATGTAAAAGTCAAGAGTGAAGGTTATGTTCAGGTATACTATCTTGACCACCAAGTTAATTCCAAGTGATTGAGAAATACTGATTGTAAAGAATCTTTCTTTGGGCCTTTTCCGATCAGATTACATGGTTCACCAGGAAACATCGGATGCAACGCCTACGATTAAGCAGGTCGAGTTCAATACTATTGCTTCTTCATTTGGAGGATTGTCTTCTCAAATTTCACAATTGCATAAGTTTGTGTCTATCAATACTGGATTAATTTCTGCATGACTGACCATCTTGTTAGATATCTTTCCTTGGGTGATTATAATCTTTTCAATAAGGATGCAACTAAATCGTTAAATCTCCCTGAGAATACAAGTACCAGATCATTAGCATTAGGATTGTTATCGGCTTTTGAACACTATAAGGGAGCCACTCCCAACTCTGACTACGATTGCTGCACAATCTTCTTGGTTCAAACACCAGAAAGAAATATCTTTGATCAAAGACACCTTGAATATGAACTTCAAAAGCACGGTGTCCCAGTATTTCGACTAGCATTTTCAGAGGTTCTCGCACACACCACAATAGCCCAGACCCCAAAGAGAGAGTTGTTATATTCACCACCGAGTAATCCCTCGAAGAAATTTGAGGTTGCTGTGGTCTATCTCCGTGCGGGATATGGTCCCCAAGATTACACAACTGAATCTGCTTGGGAAGGTCGTTTTCAAATAGAGCGGTCAAATGCAATTAAATGCCCATCAATTTTGACTCAATTGGCTGGAGCCAAGAAAGTTCAACAAGTACTTGCTACACCAAGAACTCCTTCTACACCTTCAATCCTGGATCGTTTTATCAAGACAAATGATACAGATCTCGAGAAACTGGAAGACACATTTACAAACATCTTTCCACTCGATGAAACTCCAGCAGGACTCGAAGCTCGTAAAATCGCTGTCGATCCAGAACGCTGTAACGGATATGTCCTCAAACCTCAAAGAGAAGGCGGCGGTAATAACATCTACCGCTTTGCAATCCCTCCGTTTCTCAAGTCCCTTCCGGAGTCTCATTGGAAATCCTTCATCCTGATGGAAATCATCACTCCCCCACCTGTCCCACAACATGATTTGAGAAACGGTATTATTGAAAAGGGTGGTGTAATCTGTGAACTTGGTATTTACGGAACATGTCTATGGGATCAAACAACCTCGCATATTTTTCATAACGAGGAAGCAGGATATCTTCTCCGAACAAAGGGTGATAAGAGTGAAGAGGGTGGTGTGGCTGCTGGTTTTGGGTCTATGGATAGTGTGGCTCTTGTTTAGTATCTATCGCCAAGATTTAGAATCGAGAGGATTGGATACGGCGACTGAAACACACGGTCCAATCAGATCTATCCATCCTCAATATAGCAAACTTCGGAAGGCGAGGCAATTACTAGATACGGTGACCTGAACAACGTTAACCTAGCATGCCCAGGTGTCCAACGCATAGCTTCAGCCACAAGTCATTCAGGAGTTTCTTCGGCAAACTCATTAAGCAGGCGTCTAAACTAGACCGGAATCTCATATGATGCGTTAGAATTATTCTTCATTCGAGCACGCTTCTCGCGCTTAATAGAAGGCTCATCAACCCAATTAGTAATCCAGGGAAACCTTAGTAGCCGCATTCCCGGTGCAACTTATGAACTCGCTTACACCACATGGCATCCTTTTATACCATCACCATTGTTGTTGCTGAACATTTTATTCATCCTTTACATTCCGTTTTACTTTATTTTTTTAATTATTTTTTTGCTTCTACTGTACGTGTATGAAGGAGTTCCACAAGCGTCATGTGTGCTATGTTCTTTCCGTGAACCTTATCAAAGCAAATGTCTATGGGCGCCAAGGAAAACTAGCTTTCAAGCTGGGGGCTCCACGATTCCTATTCCCGGTACAGGAACAAAACTCAGGTCCCGTTACATGCACTCCAGAGATGAATAGACTCAAGGAAAGTACCGGATAAGTAAATCACACGAAGGTAAACATAAGGTTATGAATCATCATATATTCATGCCGAGACTTCCACGGGTTGAGATGACGCAAGTCTCCATTTTCTTAGAGTTTTTGAGAATAGGTAGGTGATCTTTTTGAGATGGGCGAATCAAAAAATGGTAAATGTTGTGAAACATCTCTTGGCCTCTGTATCTTCATCAAGAATTTTGTTGGCGTTCTTCTTATCATGTCCGTATTTGCGTCTAGTAAAGTACCATCGTCAAATCAATCAAGTCAAAGGCCAACAAGGTAGTTGTTTTGTTTCCGAATCTAAATCGATACTCAGTGGTTCCATAAAAACGCTCTGTACTGAATGAGGCTATGGCATGAAAAGTGAAATCAGCGAATGGGCCAAATAGATTGGAAATAAAGTAGTTGCTTCATTTCCAGTGCAAATTAGAGTTTGATAGAGTCTCCAAATTAGACAGAGAGATGATTGACGATGTAAATATAAGCACGAAAAGTCTTGGGAACTCATGAGATTGGATCCAGGTTGCTCTTGTGAATAATCCGGATCTAAGGGTCGGAAAAAGAAGAGTGACTATTCATTAATGTTGATCTTATGGAAGCTCGATATTGGGCGAGGACAGCTTCCATGCGTTTGCTTTACCCCACAGCGTAGACATCTGTATTATTTGCATTCCAGCGGTGAAAAATCAAGGTGAACAACTGATGGTTTGGTTGATCTCAAATCAACCCGAAATTTGGAGAATCTTTGGCCATCATCCCGGTGATTGTAAATGGTCTTCTTTTATTGTGAGTACTAGGTACTACCATGGCAGCGGGGTCATGAGCCTGTATTTCAATATATCCTTACTGCAAAAATCTCTTATGGAGATCTCATCGAGCCGCTCCGGTCAAACAATCAATTAGCTAGTTGAATAAGTCACATTCTCTGCGTTCCAGGTACTATTTACCAGAAGGCTACATGGCTCAAATGAACCAAGAAGCTTGATCAAATTTAGCTGTAATCATACTTGTTGACGATATTTCCTTTAGCTCAGAACGATAACTGTTCTTGGGATGGGGTCAAAGTTAAATTCAATAGGAGACTACAAAACATCAAGGGGAAGTAGCGACCATAAGCCTACAACATGCAAATTCCAGCAATAATACCCGGCATTTGAATATGTGCTCACTGTAAACTTATCATATCCCACCATTTTCCTAGTATCTCTCTTGGTTGGCTTTGAATTTTTAATTAGGTTTGCATACGATCTTGCACATCTAGCTTTTCATGGGCTTTCTGCAATACGTTCGCACCCCTTTTGAGTCGCCGATTTATTCCTTACAGCAGCCTCCCCGCATTGTTTCCCATGTGAGCTTCATTCCCTTGGTTTCACATTTGATTCCTCTCAAAATAGTCTTCCGCCTTTGTTTCCGATTCTCCGCACCGTCTGCTGCATATCTCCTATGCCTTTCAACATACAACTTCCAAACGCGACTCATATCCTCTTGTCCTTACAACCATTCGTCGAGTGTCTTCCCTTCGCCCGCCACACCGCCTCTGCGACACCTTTGCTCATAATTTCCGTGATTCCCTTGCACTCTTCGAACTCGGCGCCGCAACGGATTTGACGATTACCCTCGCGTCTCATAGACCTCATCGCTCACCTACAACAATGGGATTGGCAGTTGAGTGATACAGTGATACGGAATTAATCAGACGTTTCATGTCCCATTTCATCTACTTTCTCACACACCTGCGGCATGTTATATAGGGTAGAGCAGTAGAAAACATCATGACCTGATTCATCTGCCGTGTACCTGTGGTACTGGGTATCGTTAAATCCATAAGAATACTGGAAAATGTTCCTATTGTGAGGAAAGGTATCCCGGTTCCATTGTGATGATAGCCATATCGATAAGAGTAAAAATTATGTAAATCCGACTCGAATAATCCTCTTGGATGTGAATAAATCCTTGAATACGTAGATTTTCCTTTTGTCAATTCTCCTCGTGTTTCATATTTTACAGGTTTCATACAGTTTTATTTGTCTAAATACAGTCTTTCTTGATATTGTATGCGCAGAAATTCAGCCTTTCGCAATGCGCTTTAGTCGACATGTTTGATAGCACTGTTCATCATACATCATTACCTGCAGAATCGATTTCTCAAATCAATATGCGTTAGACACTCGGTATCTACGACAACAAGCACATCAACACGAATTCTGGGTCGTCAACATCCGAGTAAAACCAAGCAGCTCACACAAAAAAGGCAGCTCAGTGTTATCTGTTCAATGCAATATATCAACTACCTCTGCCTATTCTTCTTCAAGAAGATCTTCAAACTGGACACTTCCCACTCACGCTACCTTTCAGTGTGGAAATACACGGATCATTTGTACTATGATGTGATCTGGGACTATGGAAATGCTTGGCCCAATCTGCAAGCCGGAGTGCACGCCATACGCTTTTTCTTAGCTCTCCCCACAATAACGCAATTTCAGTATGAATCCTTAGTTTCTTGGTTTGACACATGAGATGCTAGATCATGAATCGGAGTAAATTGGGGGCTTTCAGACGAGTTGAGTGATGACTTGCATAATTAGCGCGCAGTTTCCATCTGGAATGGTTTTATGTTGGCGCTCTCCCTTTATGATGTTGACATAAAGTCTATTCTTATCACATAAGTGATCTACTCAATTGAGAACAAGGAGTTTTTATTCTCGAATTCACAGCGATGGAAGAATTTGATGGGTCTGTTCATAGGTGTCGTTTGAATGCCTGCTTTCTGGAGAATTAGATTTGTAAATTTCGATAGGGTTTATATACATGGTCATTCAGCGATGTTCAGTGACTCGTAGAGATGCAGTGAAATCGAGGAATATGTTGATGAGGGATTTAGTTTAGTTTTGTCTGCTAGCATGTATGCTAGATTGTTCTAGCTCATCAAACCTTGGTCAACAGCGACTCGGTATAGCTCGAAAGGGTTTTCTGTATCAAAAGCTAGTCATTGTTAGTCAGTTATAGGCTGAACTATTCTGAATACGAGTATGTTGTTGATCTCGAAATTCATGACTTATATCCGTCCAAGATATCGGCTTCGAAAATAAGCGAATAGTGGTATTCTTAGGTACGCATGCCAAGTGAGTTAACGATCCTGAAATTGAGACTACTCGTAACATATGTTCTGAGGACTGTATAGATATCTACTGTGATGATATCGACATGTGGAAAAGATGGCAGCATTACTTGGAATCTTCTCATCAAATTGATACCCAACATCCTACAGAACACTGAAGTAGATCACTCGACGGAGCAAGCTTTCAGGAGTCTATCGGAGGACGAATATTTCGTTACCAATGGAGACTACATGGCTTCAAAGACTAGCGCTGCACTTGTTGTTGCTTGCTCTTGCCAGAGCTCGTGCCTGCACTACTTGGAAGTTGATTTTAAGTTTTGTCAACACTTGCCTGTTGCCATCCAAGTACCCAAGCTTTTTTAGAATCGTCACAGAATTTGATATTGAATAACGTCAACACTAAATTAGCATCTACTTATCTGTTGTCTAAATGAATAAAGAACTCAAGAGTGACCCAGCTCGGTAGCACCTGCCCCAAAAATCTCAATGAGCTCTGAAAATACTGTCTAAAAGGTAAGACAAGTAGGTTTCTTAGGATTTTCCGGTCATGTAGATATACAACACTTCATACATGCCCCGGATAATGCTCATAATGCAATACGTTTACCATTGAACGGTTATCTGTCACACTGGATTATTAGGTTTGGCTAGATCAACAGTCCAAAGTAAGTTTGAATGACACCATGGCTGATGAAATTTTCTATTCATTAACTAGTTGATCTAGTTGATCTAGATACTACTAAATTTATAGTCAGTTTGAGTGCGAATCAAGATATAAGTATCCCTCCCAGACCCCAGTAATTTCGAATTCTAGTAGCTGACATTCATCACATTCATCTTCATCACATTCATATCTCATCCTACAATCATCTTTAAGTGAATCCCAACCATTTACAACATCTTCATTCAATTCACAATGTCAATCAACGTACCTGGAATCGACACTGCGGACCTTCGCCGTTATATCAACCTCGGTTAGTATATAATTGACCCTATCGAAGCCCCTCACCCCCGCTTACCACCGCTTACCCCCTTGATCACATCTTCATACTGCTCCTGTTTGCATTGTTATGTTTGCTGATAATCGTACCAGATCTACCTTTCGGGAACCATGCCCCCGTCGTCCCCGCTGCCGCTGCCCCCTTCCCCGCTGGCCCTCTCCCCGCTCTCCCTGCTCACCCTCTCCCAGCTGATAATAATGCCCCGGCTGTAGTTGCTGCTCCTGTCGTAGAGCAACCCGTCCCTTCGTGGCCAAGGAACCCCAAGCCCATAATTGGTGGTCACCAACCTCTGAGTAAGAATCTCCTTGCCTGTCATCCCTCCTCATTTGGGACAATTAAAAGCTAACCTTCTTGAAAGCCATCTGGCCGGAGACCAGCAACAAAGATCCCACCCTGAACTACGTAGAGGGCAAATACGAGTTTGTTCGTGGAGGGGACGATGTTGTGGGTTCCCGAGCTTGGCTGCAAAAGCACCATCCAGGAGCCCGTGAGGGCACTGCCTGGTTTTTGGTCAGTTTGTTGGGGCGGAACGGTTGGACCAACAACAGGGTCATTGTTGACGCATACACAAGAATGTTTACAACGTGTGTCAAAAGGTTTGGAGGGGTTGTGGCGGGAAGCGACAGCTATGTCGAGCAGTGGGTGAGTGCGGAGGCTCTTGTCCGCCAGACTTTGTCCAAGACCCAATACAATGACTTGTTCATCAAGGAGGATGATGCAAGTATTGTTGGGGATGAGGAAAGGCAGGGTGAGTGTCTCTGGCGTCTTAGACAGCCTGGAGACCCCGCTAAGCCAAACTCGAAAAAGGGCAAAAGAGGCCCTAGAACGCGTGGAGATGGCGATGGGGATGGTGACGGGGATGGTCCCGCTGGTGACCCAAATTCCGCTCACGAAAAGCGCGATGGTGGGCCAGAAGACCGACCCGCTGCCAAGAAGCGTAAGGGCCCCTTAACTGGCGGATAAGAGGGGCGGTGCCAGGAAGAATAACGGTACCAAACTTCCTGGACTGGTTGTTCACGCCATCTTTGAACAATCTAGTATTGATGATGGGCTCTCAGTTGAATCGGTGTCGTGATTCCTGGAGCAGCTTGTAGAGTTGTTGATATCATGCCCTTGAGCTACGACTTCTTTCCTTTTGTCCTTGGTGGGTTCGATTCCCACCATTTTTTGATGGTATTATTTGGGATTTGAATGGGATGAAGTCAACAGTAGCTCCTGGTTCATGGTCAACACTCTGCATTATATCGACACAATCATAGTAGTTTGGAGTTTTTTGTGCGCTTGCTTCCTGTGTCTGCAACATTTATGATCTTTTTCCCATGGATCGGAGAGAAACGAAACGCCTCAAGATAGGGAGCTCTAACCCTAAGGTGTCCGTTCTTCCAATCTTGGTGATGAGAAAAGATATCATATGATGACAGTTATTAGACTGGTAGACACAGCGCGTTGTTTCATTTTCTTATTTGTTTTTCATTTCTTCTTTTTGGATAGCGCCAGCCTCTGAACATGGTTTTTGCTCCTTCTAGATCAGAAGGAGAGTTTCCAATGTTCTTTACACAAATGTGAGAGGATGGCAAAGCGGATAATGTTAGCAATTGCATGTTTTAGTAATTAATAATCATCAAAATTGAAATCAATGACCGAATCAAATGTGAAGTGAAGAAAGTAAATTCATAATTTGAGATGGTAGCTGACTTGTGATACCCTTATTGAGAAAGGTGCCTTGACTGGTGATATTCTCTTCGACATCCTCCCTTACATACTGCCTTGAAAGTATAGTACCTTTTGCGCCGCCCAAATTCGATATTACATACACACGCGAATCGAAAAGTAAGTCTTGTTACATCCCGTCATCCATCCCAACTCTCATAGAATTCATATATTCATGGCCAATTGATCTATGCGCTTGCATCTTGAGGCCTCTTGTATTGGAGGACGTCGATTTTCTCTGTTTGATCTGGGTTAGCTAGTGCTTTGGTAAGGTTTAATGGTATTTTAGAGGGAGTACTTACGCTGAACTGCGCTCATAGAACTTCTGTTCTTCCCATCGGCATCTTGGTAGTTATTCATTTGTGCCTCAGCTTCTACATATACCAAGGTTCTAAACACACATCAGCATTGGATACCTTTGAGATATCTTTTCTTTGAATTTCCGAGCTCAACATCTGCCTCTGCCTCTGCTAAAATTCACATATGAGATGTACTCATACTGAAGAGGCTTTTTCCTAAGTGGTTTTCTCTCCAGCTATTAAGAGATTAAAAGAACTTACCCCTTCTCCAGATTCGAAATGAAATCTCTCTGTGGTCCCTCTGGCAAGAAGCTCACTATCCGAAACCAACTAGTCTTCTGATTCTCTCCTCTGCCGGTGTTAGTACCAACCGCATATTTCATGATCTCTTGTCCTTGGCTTGTAGCAGTTATTTCAGGCTTATCAGCGAGACGACCAATAAGTGTGAGTTTGGCGAAGGAATTATTGCGAGCGCTGGTGGAGAAGCTGCGAGAGAGGGTGGATAAAACATTGCGGCGGAGAGCGAACATCTTTGCGGTTCTGGAGGAGTGGAAGATTTGAAGTTGGTTGGTTTGTGGAAAGAATGTGGAATTTTAATGAATGTGAGTTGATCGATCTTGATTTTTTTCTTCTTATCGCGGTTTCTGTGTTTTGGTGGGCATAAAATCTGAGATGATTTGTAGCTTTTGCCTGAGGCATAGATATCAACTATTCCACCGGGGCGTGCACTTACGAGCATTTCGAGGTTCACAAGAAGGGCCATACCATTGGGATTTCTATCAACTGAGACTGAGACAACTGAGGACAAAAATCTGGGGAAAACTTAGCTTTCATTCTTTACCTTTGAGATCATGGCAATTACCAGATACTGAGGTATCAACTCCGATTGACAACACAGCATTGAAGATATAAAGCGACAAGCAACAAGCAACAAGCAGCATTAATTCCATTGGGATTCGTTGTGTTAAGATTGGGGAAACTTCATCATTTGTTAACCAAGGAAGCATTCCGACCGATAACACAGCATTGAATATAAAGCAACATCGATTTTATTGGGAATCCTTGCGTGATATGATATTTGGGAAGATATACTACTTTCGCTATTGAATCCTTCGAGACTCGAGAGATCACTTACCCCAACTCAGTAGGCATTCCGATTGACAAACAACCACACGACATTCAAAATGAAGTAGCATTGATATCATTGGGGATGTTGCGTCTTTACATTTACGCAGTTGAACGTATGCCATTCTTTATTGATACCTGAACGAGGATTTCTTCGAATGCAGTGTCGCGGGAAGAGGTCGCAGCAAGATATACCTCGATATTTTGGAATCTTGGAATCTTTGCAGGTCGCCGATCAAATTCAACTCGTTTTGGCTTCCTTGCGATGTCTTACTTCCGCTATGGTCACCCAATCCTTTCGAATGCTCGAACACGAAAGGTTCAAGATCATGCCAGCAGATCCCCAAATAGATATAACGTCTTGTCATCACGGATACGAGCATCATATGTGCATCTCTCTATCCAAGAGAATTTCAGTTCAACCATCTCTTTTAATGCCTTATATGCTGGTCTCAGCTACCACAGACACAAACCTTATCTACCCGAGACGGTGTTACTCATGATGTTCTGTACTATCACCATCATCTTGGTTGGAGACTTTCTAGATGGTCGTTCCTGTATCACTTGTTGATGTACTCCAGACTTTTTCAATCTGCAGAAAATGAAATCGTGGTATGGATTGCATGCTTCATCAGAATCACTTCGCATGAAGGATTACAGCTCTTCACCAACGCCTTCCTCTTCCCCATCCCCCCCCCACCATAAAACATTGTAAGTCTTTGTATCACAAGTTCGAATGGATTTTCTTTTGAGGTTGGTTCAAACTGGATCTTTTACCTTGTTAAAAAGTGCGGCATGTTACATCGATGCATCGAAGTAATTATTGGCATGAAACGGGAGACTTTCCAAAAGTATGATAGGTCGGATGAACACCGGAAAGCTAACAGTGTGCGAGCGGGATAACGAGCGATTGGAGTGAACCGGGGAAGGTCTAAAAGACACTCTTGTACCTGAAGCTAATCCTGATGGAGAATCGATTCCTTGAAAATATCGAAACAACTCCCGGAATGACTACACTACCTACCTAGCATCTAATTCTTCGACCTAACATTACCATCTGCTGATTGTGCTTAGGTTCCTTAGTTCTGTGTACTCTGTACTTTCGAAACCATTCCCGGCATACGAAAGGTATCTAGGTACCGAGTTAATGCTGGTCAAGCAATATGTACCATCAAGCAAATATCGTTAAGCAATATATATTGTCCAAGCGATATGTACCGGTTATGCAATGCACAGCTTATTTTGTATCTTCTTCCTTCTAGCTCATCCCGAACATTGGGAAAAAAAGAAATCATTCATTTATATGGTTAGTTATGATCCAACAAGACAATGAGAAAAAAGCAAAAAAATTGAAGAAAAGAAAATAGGTGAGAGAGACGGGAGGTCAAGATCATTCAAAAGAAAGAACGAAGGAAGAAAAAAAAAAGAAGAAAGTCGACGATCAATTGATCTACTATAAATCAGCCTCAGTATGGTCAATGCTAACTATAGTACTCAAATTGATCGGTAGATCTCCCCACAGCTCCATTTTTGATAGTAACCTAATCTCGCTACAATGAGTCTAATACGATTTTCAATCTACTTCAGGTCACAATTTTCTTGATTAGATTCAATGGGATCATTGAAACCTCGACTAGACAAATCAAATCCATCAGAAACTTCAGACAGATCTGACAGACACGGCAAGCAGATGAATTCCCATTATTTTGGGCCGAAATCCAAGCTTTTTTCTCCGATTCACCGAGTATCGTCTCTCGAACAGATCAATTCATTTCCCCTCCATAAAATTTGGATGTGGCTTTGACGTTAAGAAGAGAAAAAAAGTAAGGTATACATACTTTCGTGGCACTACATCGTATTGTTTGTGATCCCTACACTCCCAATTATTTACTTTCATGCATCATATTTTTCGTATTGCAGACGCCTTCCTGTAAGTGCAGGATGTTAACTTTCAAGGCGGGGATTATGTCAAGCTGCAGGACAAATGTATCCGTCAATGGGTCTGCTTTAAACCAACACCCAAGAAGAGTCTACCTTGCAGTAGATCACCGCGGTCCGCGGTCCGTTGAGAGTTCCATGTCGAATCGTTCATTGCATGCACACTGATTTCTAAAAACACATAAGAACCAACCATGCACAAACCCACCCACTTTGTACCAGACGATTCATCATCGGATAGCGTAATTTCTCATAAACGCCTTCGCGCCTACACTTAGTATTTCCGTCAAAGTTAAGTACCTTTACCTTCCACATTTTCATCGGGTCTTAACATGACTTCATATAATATACCTTCTCATATCTTATCTGTTTTCAGATGAACCATCAAGGCTATTGGCACACTACCTCACGCCTCGTTCTAAACATTCGTTACACCCCCCCCCCCCCCCCCCCCCCCCCTTTCCTTGTTCTATAATCCTTATTCTTCTTCAATTCTCAATATTCGTGTTTCATTTCCATACTACCCATGTAATCTTCGAAGCCATACACACTACACGTCTACACATTGAGGGGAGCTTTGGCAATAGTCTCCTGTCCCGCCAGCACTACTTTTCTTTATCTTATGCTCTAATACTCGATATCCGGGACTAGTTCTAAGGGTTTACACAATGCAGATCAAGGGGTCCGTGTTGCTGGTATTGGGGGCTTCGATTCACTGGGCTTTGGCTGCACCATGGGATGTTCGTGTCCAGGAACGCGACAACTCGGTAGCTCTATCTTCGACGATCACTTCTACCTCATCGTCGATCTCGAGTAGTGCGAAAGAATCGCAAGAAAGCAATGATAGCTTCACGTCCGCCTCAACCATCACACACTCGCAAAGTACTTCTTTGACAATGACTACATCAACTTCGAATACAGCAATGTTGACTTCGACCGCATCGGCATCCTTGATTAGCGCAACAGCTACAAGTATATCCGCCACAGATTCAGCTTTCAATTGTATGAAAAGCCTACCCTCATTAGACTTTGACAAGATGCTGACATTGAAGCAGCTACAATATCACCTGGCGAGTTACCTCTCCAACCCGAGATCACACCAGCATTTGTTATTGCAGGAATCATCCTCATCGCTACTGGTATATTATATACATTCATTGGAGTCAAAAACAAATGGCTACATATTTCTCTTTCAGCAGGATACCTTGTCAGCATTGCAATCACGGTCCTGATTCTTTTTGTAATGAATCTCCCCGTCAGCAATGCGGTCGAGGGAGCATATCTCGTTGCAATTGTGCTACCTGGCCTCATAGTTGGCGGGTGCTCTTTAATATTTACAGAAGTGACTGAGGGCCTTGGATGTATTTTGGGGGGTTTTTGCTTCAGCATGTGGCTGCTTGTGATGAAAGCTGGTGGATTGATCATTTCAACCGCCGGGAAATCGATTCTGATTGCAGCAATTAGCATTGCTGCTTTCTCACTATCCTTCAGTCACTATACTAGGACTTATGGATTGATCGCATGTATATCATTCGCCGGTTCCACAGCGATCGTTCTCGGGATTGATTGTTTTAGTAGAGCTGGCCTAAAAGAATTCTGGGCTTACATTTGGAACTTGAATCAGAACCTTTTTCCACTGGGCGCAACTACATACCCCTTGACAAAAGGAATTCGTGTCGAGATTGCCGCAATTTTCGTCATCTTCTTAGTCGGTCTAGTGTCACAATCAAAGGTCCACAAGATGATCCAAGATCACCGTGCGCAGAGATTGGAAGAGCGCCAAGAAATCGCAAGAGTTCTAGAAGAGGAGGAAATGAGTGTAGGAAGGAGAATTGAGGATCAAAATATCGCAGAAAAAGAAAGATGGGAAAAAATATACGGCGAGAAGGTCAAATCAGGAGATGAATCAACACATGATTCTGTAGTGGGTGATTTGGAAGATTCAAAACAAGGGCATTCTAGCACGATTACCTCTATTATGGAACTCGATGGAACAGAGGTTGAAATCTCTGACAAATCTTTACCTACTCGATCCAATGTTACTGGTCTTGTTATGTCGAGTGGAAAAGGGCGCGATGGAGCGGTTACAGTACGCGTTGCTCGAGATGCGGTACCCGAAGTTGAGCGAATCGAAGACAAAGTTGCTATCCCATCGCGCCAGTCGAGTCAAAAATCGGGCAGATCTCAACCATCGGCAAATCCAACTGGAGATAAAGCAGTGGTTGTTAACAATGAAAGTGCCCACCTAGCAAGTCTACCTTCACTACGTCCTACGAGTAAAACCCCTCCTCCACCAATGACAGTCGCACCAGAAGTAGTGCCTCTTCCTTTTAAGATTCCCGAAGATGAGATGGAGGATAATCGATCTTCGATTGCTACTTCTCCAGACGAAGAGCTAGCGGTCAACGGCAAAACTTTGAAACGTAGACCCAGTGGCGGCTCAGCACTGTCCAATAAAACCTCTACT